TATGATCTCCACAGCTTGACACTATAAACAAAGCACAATATCCTTTCTCCCTGACTGTGTCTGAGTGATGACTGCAGGTGTACTGCAGGTGAACTGGATCCTGCATACAAAATTCCAACTTAAGCTGAACTAATTATAGTGATAGAAATGACAACCTGCAGTGACTGTTTAAAGTATGATGGGATTTAATAAAATTATTTTCTAATATTCTTCATTTAATGTAGCCTGGCTCAGTTAGTTAGTTATGGGCTGTTAGGTGTAAGCATGTATTTTAACAGGTGTACCTGCTCTGCAATCAGTCATGTGAGGAGGACCTCTGACCAATCAGAGGCCTGGCTGGTGTAGTTGGGGGAGGAGCTTATGCTTTAAAAGAGGTCTTCAAGCTGGCTGATGACAGATAGAGAGGCCTAATTATCTGTGCTGTAGTTTTTAAATCTCTTGTGTTGCTTTAGTTTTGGTGTTTTTCCTGCACACTTTAAACTTGTGATTGATTATTTGTGTCTTTCGAGTGAATCTCCCTGTACATAGCAACAAATCTGCACATCTTTTCATGAGAAGCACAAAGTCTTAAACACTCAGCCTGGTTTGGTACGCAGTGACATGGCTTTTTCCATGTCTTCACTAGGAGGTTGTACTGACAGGACACTAGTATGTGAATGTTTCATTTGCATGTCTCTAGTTGGTAGCTTTAACGATGTTGCACAGTGTAATTGGTTGGTTTTAGAAACAGAAATGTGGGGAATCACCCCTTCTTAAGGACAATGTCCATGTACTGTAAAGATAAACCAGATCACTATCATGTACAGAATGCTAATTTATAAGCTCTCAGACTCTCATTGTTAAACTAGCCAGTTAGGCTCAATGTTGGTATTTATGCCAGGTTTAGGTCTAAGGTAGAGGTTAGTGTTAAAGCCAGGTTCAGGGTTTGGGAAAGTCTAGCTGAATAAAGAGTGCAAGTTAAATGTAAGGTAAGCATCTACAGTAAACAGCAACATAGTAGAAGCTTTAGTTCTCATTCTGCATTTCTTTTGAAAATTCTTAAGCTTGTGTGAAGTCTAGCCTGTTTTTATTTTAAGTGATGTCTAACTCAAGGTTTTGCTATTAGCATCTTTACAGCCTTTCAGGTGAGATTGTCTCAGCCAGCCATTTGGAGGAACGTCCTTATGTGTCGTGCCCTCTGCATCCATACCTGCTACAATGAGGCTGCTCCACCTGATCTGTACCAGCAAACATGATTTTGTAGATACTGTGAATCAGTGGGGGTCATGGGTATCTGCAGTGTGCAACCAAGACACCTTCCAGCAAATCATACAGGAGCAGGTAATTATACTAAGCCTATACTACAGCAGTGCTTCTCAACCCTGGTCCTGGAGGCCCACTGTCCTGCTTTAACACACCCACTCTACCTTAATAATGGGCTGATAATCAGTTGGATCAGGTGTGTTGGGAGCAGGGAAGACACTTAAAGTGCAGGGCAGTGGGCCTCCAGGCCTGGGGTTGAGAAACACTACTAGAGGTTTAGCTACTTATTTCAAGAGAAAGAGGCACCAAAAGGTCTGTTCATGAATTTGAGTAGCAGTAGCTAGAAAATTGAGAGTTCAGTCAAGGTGCCACACAGTAGATCTGTGCAGGCACAGATCTAATAATTATCCATCCACTCCAAGCAGTGTAATCTCCTCCCTCCTTGGATAACTTACAGGTCCTAAATGTTGTTCAAATACGGATTAGGACCTGGTCAGACCTGCTCCTTCAGCCCTGAGTCTCTCGCTCTCCTAACATAATCTCCTACTAATGTAAACTGTTTTGAAACATTTGAATGCAAAACTGGGCATTAACATTTTCTCTCTCTGTATTGTTTATCTCTCGACATTCTAGGTTTCTTTAGTTTTCTTATAGTTGGCTTGTCAACTAGCTGTACAGCCTAGTAGATGTTGTAACCACTTAGTTTTTTTTTTATTTGCTGAATTTAACAAACTGGGTAATACAATCCAATGTGCCTCATAAATGTACAATACTCTATTGTGAAATTTCATTAACAGTGCTTTGTGTAAAATTTGTACACCTTAAGACAAGCTTCAGTGATTTCTAGACACAAACTACTATTATCACATGCTGCCTAAAACATTCCATTTGAATGGCAACAAGTGAGTATAGCAGAGAACAGAACACACCTTTGAGTTTAGTCAACTGTAGTTTCAGTGGCTGCTCACTCAGCTAATATTTACTGTGGACCTCTGTGGTCTAAGCCTTCTGAGGCTCCTGATACTCGGAGGCCCCTGGGCACTGGCCTCATTGTCTTACTCTGTAATCAATCTCTGCTCTTTATTTGTAATGGTTCTCTTAGTACAATTTGTTAGAAATGCTGTATGTTTGATTAAAATTGAGTCCTGATTTTTGGTCTGAGTTTTTTGGTGTCTCATCTTTGGGATTGTGAACGGATGGTTTTGTTGATTTTCCAAATGTACATCTTGGTCAACTTTTTCTTTTAGCTGAATTCCAATACTTTATCATCTCCACAGCTTGAAACTATAAACATAGCACAGTATACTTTCTCCCTGATTGTGTCTGAATAGTGACTGCAGGTGGACGTTTGACATTTTACCCCCTTCAGAACCGTTTACTGTAAAGCTTCAACAGATCAGTTTATCATGTACAGAATGCTGACTAAAGTAAATGCTGACTAGAGTAAATCAACTGGAAGAACATAGTTTTGGGTCCCACAGACAAGCTGGTGGAGGGCATGTGATACTCTGCCCAAGGTTCTGCTGGGAAACTCTGGGTCCGGCATTCATGCAGACACCAGTTTGACATGTGCCACCTACTGAAACATCGTTGTGGACCATGTAGTGCCCCTAATGGTGATGGTATTCCCTAATGGCAGTGGCCTCTTCCAGCAGGACAGTGTGTCCTGCCGCATTGCACCTATTGTTTGGGAATTTTAAAGGAACATAGTGAAGTGAAGGTGTTGCCTTGGACAAATAGGTGTTTGTGTAAAGACACAAACACCTGTTCATTGTTGAGACGTTATGTTGATGGGAAATGCTTAAACATTTAAACAAAATTAAAAATATTCATGTTTAATACGTTGGTTTTCTTATATCTGTTGCAGCTGGCCTTAAAAAGGAAGATTTGGGTTTAAAAAAAAAACACTGGTTACTATCAAAATATGGCTTTTGGACATGTAAAAGCTGGTCTGTTTTCTTTGGGGACTGATTTATATGCTGGACTGAAGATGCTCATGGCTGTTTCAGGAGGTAAGGTTGTGGTGGAGAGCGCATCCTGTAATCATCTCTCTTTACAGGTAAACACACAGAACACCCATAGTGCTTTGTGAATGAGCTGAATTCATTGTACAGCTGTACTTAAAGTATGTTCTGTTGGTAGAAAAGCGCTCTAAGTGGAGTTAAATGTGTTGGTGGTCGTGAGCGGTGAAACGGCTGAACACACAAACCCCCCATAGTTTGACAAGGACCACGAGGCTCTGAACACACCGCATCAAAACAGTGCGTGTTCACTACGGTCGGGTAAAAGGAAATGAAGTTACTGAGTTAACGTTAACTTACATTCGTCTAATGTCGGATTGGAGAGGTTAAAACACGTTTACACGTTATTGTAGCAGTATTTAAAGGGGAACTCCACCCATTTTCAAAATTTCTGTGTAATTAAATGGTTCAGAGTGGTTTGGTGTGAAACTCTCTGTTCTAGACAAACTTAGTCAGAATTGTTCACAATGGTGATGATGATAGGAACCAGACGTCCACCTCTAAAAGCTCCCTCATAGAAAGTTATTACATTAAATGAACGCGCTGTCTGATGCGCGAGACATTGTTTTATGGTAAAGGTTTGGCTTGAAATGCGTTTTAATCCATTCATGGTGGAGGGGTGCATGCAGGGCGTGGTGAGACAAAATAGTCCCCAACGAAAACGTATTTTTTCAGATTTATAACTGTTTTACCATCAACATTACATATAACACTCAGAAGACTCGTGTAGGTTCACTGGTGGTTTTGGATAGAAAATAAAACGGCTGTATTTGTGCTGTAGTCATGGCGACCCCTGGTTCCTATCAGCACCACCGTTAAAAAAAAGTTGGTAAATTTCCCTACAAATGAATTACTGAACATCAAATCACTCTGACTGACTGATTATAGCTTAACCATCGAATTACTGAGGAATTTTAAAATAAAAAGTGGTGATGTTCCCCTGTAAGTTTGAGAGCTGAGTGTGAATGGTCTAAAAGAAACACTAATAATTGACATGTTGGTACAATAATGTAGTCTTTTCTGTTATGAAGCTCACTGTTGGTCTTTACTGTTGCCTTTGGCGCCCTCTGGCGTTGGTTTGCTAATATTTCTCTAAGTATTACTGTGATTTAATGTCTTTCTACAGTAAGAAATTCACTTCTACTGTTATTAATAATAAAATCTTAAACACTAAACGCTTTTATTCAGTCTTTGTCCGATGATGAACTGATTTTACCAAGTTATAATCGACCCTCCTTCATCAGAAGAGAACCGCGGCTTTCGAGAACCATGAACATCAGCTTCGTCCTGGCAACTGATGACGCCACACGATTAGCTTTTTTCATTGGCTGCTAAAGTCTCAGGGCCGTGCTTGACGGGTTGCCATGTTGAGGCCAATATACACTTCACTCAAGAAACGTGGGAAAAATGCATTAAAAGTGTGAAAAGAACTAAGTAACATGTCTGTAAGAGTGCCTAGAAGTAGAGATGTTTAGAAAGCAGTGCTTTGCGCTTTTATACAGTAATTAAACCATCAGGTTCTTCATTTTCACCAGTTTAGTGAAGCAGCTCTCCACTGTCTTATTCTCACCACCCAGCTCCTATAAAACCTGTGCATCCATATCGAAGTGTTACTGCAAATTTCCCACTATTTTGCGTATGATAATATATATTTTGGAGAATATATATAATAATATATAATCAGTACATTTATAGTACAGTCAAAACATTACATGTTCTGGCAACCCATTTCCTCACAGAAGAAGTGAATGTAAGATTTCTCATGTCATTTTGTGTATGTAATATTTCTGTATAGATGTTTCTATACAGGAATATTACATATACAAAATGACAAACGTCATTGTAATGCATTACAAACATGATGTGAAGAAATGGCTCCTTTTGCTGCTGCTCAGCGTCCAAGCAGGTAAGTTTGGTGAACTTCCTGACCTGTATGCTGGTACAGGAATATAGTTAACTCTCAAGCTTGGATAAAAAAAAAGGTCAACATGCTCGTATTCTGTTGGTATTCTGCACTAACTGTGTCGTAAAAATCTGTAAAAATGCTATTTTTGTGGTATTCATACTGTTGTGGGAGCTGTTGTTTGCGGTCCTGGGTGGGGGGTAAAAATACTGAATTTGACTCCACGCTGTTAACCTTTTAAAGTAGCAGCCAAAGATGGTAGACTACTGTTTGGCATTCTGGTACTGTAGCATTTCAAAAAACGAGTTCATGTTTTCTGGAATCAATAATCAGTTAAAAAAAGGTGTGTGTCTGTCTGTTGTTCTCTATCTGAGGCGGTACGTCTGCGTGTCCGCCATGTTGGAGAGGTCAAGATCCGCTTGTGAACAAATTCACTTGTATTGAGAGGCGATGAGTCTCAGGATTAAATCGACCACAAACTTCTCATCACTCAACCGACTTTCACCAAATTTGTCTTGTTATAATCCTCAGACACAGAGTAATCTAGGCTGCACGGGCTGCTCTCGGTAGCTTTTATTCCTTTAATGACTGATCGTGATGATTAGCCGTCTAGACCAGCAGAAAAGTATTCAGTCTGCACCGGACATTAAAAACCGAGTTTAGCACGAGAAACACACACACACACCAGCAAATCCATCAATGTGTGAATCAAACATCACATAGACATGAGAGTGGACTGCGTTCCCTCCGTTATATAATCATATCCTGCTTCCTGAGTGTAAAATTCTTGAAATAGTGTAATTTTAGACAGTATCTTTCTTAAACCAAAAATGGCGGCGCCGTTGACGGGCCTGGCTGGACCCATCGCGGCATCTAGGTATGGATATCTATGGGTATAGACCACTGTAGTTGTGTCGTCATTTTGTAGTCGGCGCCGTGCTCTTAAGCCCATATTAGGAACTCCGGGTCTGAGCTCCATTTCTCTATGGGCAGAATGAATAGGGTTTTCGAAAAATCGCCTCTATCGCCCCCTGTGTTAAATAAAAATGTTCAGGACCCGATGCGTTTTGTCCTGTGTACATGTTTCTCCTGAATACCACTGGTTCCTCTGAATTACGAGGTCGTAAAGAGCTATAATACTAATTTCGCTATAAGCGAGCTAAAGCTACTGCGCCTCAATTTGATGGTCACTAAGCTACACGACACTAAGGCGGGCTGTGGTGGTGCCCTGACGCGCTGTGCTACCTTATCGAAATGTTCTACTGTCGCGCTTATTTACAGATATACCCGTAAATAAAACCTCTGGGTGGGATATTTTGATAGGCTGAAACTCCTTATACGACCCGTGTTAAAACTACGAGGCTGAACTTAGCTTCTTGTTTGAATGTTCCCATTATACCTTAAATGGTGCAGCAGCTGTGACTAGCCATCACAAACATTAGCAAACGAGACAAAATACTGACCTGTCGGTTCTGTGAAACAGCAAAATAAGTTAATGTTACTCAGCTGTTAAGCGGAAATAGAGAAACCTCATCATACCAGGCCTTTCAACCCTCCATGAAGCTGAAGTCAGCTTCTTTTTCGCCGGCTGCTTACTCAAATTTTCCCGTTCCCCCTTAAATGGCGCAGCAGTTCAGAACGCGACTGCTGCTCCATTTAAGGCGGAACGGGAAAAGTCGAACAAAAAGCTGGCGAATGTCCTGAGAAAATGCCCTCAGAAAAATGTTACCAGCATTAAAATAAAAATCAGGATATCCCGAGAGCCGAAATCAATTTATCAGGGGTCAGCAGTGATTATTAAGTCTGTACTGGATTAACCTGAGTGCAGGTTCGTTTGTAGATCTTTTCAAATCAAGCTAAAAGCAGAGATCTATCGTGTTTCAATGAGAGTCAGATGAAGAACAGAGAACTGCAGGGAAACCTGCTGATTTTGTTCTAAATCCTTTTCATCTGCCCTCAATCTGTATATGGAAACGTTTACTGCCAAAACCCGCTTAAGGAGGCTGCCAGTCTTCTGTACACAGGACAAACCGTGTCGGGTTCTGAACATTTTTATTTAACACAGGGGGCGATAGAGGCGATTTTTCGAAAACCCTATTCTTTCTGGCCATAGAGAAATGGAGCTCAGACCCGGAGTTCCTAGTATGGGCATAACGAGGACTACAGAATGACGCACGACCACAGTGGACTATAGAGCACTGTAGTCGTTTCATTCTGTAGTCCTTGTTATGCCCATATTAGGAGCTCTGGGTCTTAGCTTGATTTCTGATTAGTTGTGCTACCTCACTAAAATGTCCTACCATACTGCATATTTATAGATCTCTAGGTAGGATATTTTGATTGGCTAAAACTCCTTGTCAAAAATACTGTCAGTGTTAAAACTATGAGCTGTCAAGCGGAAATAGAGAAACCTGCTCATACCTTTCAACTCTCCATGAAGCTTGTCAGCTTCTTTTTCACCAGCTGCTGCACCATTTAAGGTGGGAAGGGAACATTCAAACAAGCAGCTGATGAAAGTCCTGAGAAAATGTGTTCAGAAAATGTTACCAGCATAAAATAATAAAAGGATATTCTGATAGCCTAAATCAGGGGGTCAGCAGTGATATTAAGCTGAGTCTGTACTGAATTAGCTTGAGTGCAGGTAAGTTTGTGGAGCTAGGGCTGGGCGATATGGTCAAAAATGTTATGACGATAATAAAAAATCATATCAGTTGATATGCATATCATGATAAATGTCATCATTATTTTTTGCAAATTTGAAGGCTGATTTTTGCTCCTGGGTAGTTAATTGCTGTAATTGCTAGGCTGTCTGGTTATCTGGTTACAAATGGATCCACGAGTGGATCAGACACAGCAGTGCTGCTGGAGTTTTTAAATACTGTGTCCACTCACTGTCCACTTTATTAGACACTCCTACCTTGTCAGTGCCCCTTGTAGATGTGAAATCAGAGACGATAGCTCATCTGCTGCTGCACAGTTTGTGTTGGTCATCCTCTAGTCCTTCATCAGTGGTCACAGGACGCTGCCCACAGGACGCTGTTGGCTGGATGTTTTTGGTTGGTGGACTATTCTCAGTCCAGCAGTGACACTGAGGTGTTTAAAAACTCCAGCAGCCCTGCTGTGTCTGATCCACTCAGACCAGCACAACACACACTAACACACCCCCACCACAGCAGTGTTACTGCAGTGCTGAGAATGATCCACCACCCAAATAGTACCTGCTCTATGAGGGTCCATGGGGTCCTGACCACTGAAGAACAGGGTGAAAGGGGGCTAACAAAGTATCAGAGAAACAGATGGACTACAGTCTGTAACTGTAGAACTACAAAGTGCACCTATATAGTAAGTGGAGCTGATAAAATGGACAATGAGCATAGAAACAATGAGATCTCCTCTTGATCTCAGGTTTCTTCTAGACACAATTAAGTCCAGTTTGGAATCAGAGTGAGACTTGAGCCATTTTGTCCTGCTTCTGAATTTTGGCTCCTGAAATTGAAATTGGCCATTTTCAAATGGGGCATATCTTTCAGGCATATATCAAGATATACAAACATATATGTATAACACACATAATGAACAATATATGATACAAAACATTAATCATATATGGACAACATACAACCCCATTTCCAAAAAAGTTAGGATATTGTGAAAATTGAAATAGAGTGCAATGGTATACAAATCATTTAAACCCTATTTAAAATTTTAAAAAGTAAAAAGACAAAATATCAGAAGCTGAAACTGAGAAATTTATTTATTATTATTATTTTTTAATATTTGCCCCGTTTTGAATTCAATTCCAGCAACACGTTCTAAAAGTGTTGGGACGGGGGCCTGTTTACCACTGTGTCTCATCACCTCTTCTTTTACCAACACTCTGTAAGTGTTTGGGAACTGAGGAGACACTGCAGTAGTTTTGAAAGTGAAACCTTATCCCATTTTACGCTGATACAGGATTTCAGCTGCGCATCAGTTCGGGGGCTCATTTGTTGTATTTTTCATTTCATAATGCGGCAAATGTTTTCAGTGGTGACAGATCTGGACTGCAGACGGGTCAGTTTAGCACCCGGACTCTTTTAATACAGAGCCATGCTGCTGTAATGCGTGCAGAATGTGGTTTGACATCATCTTACTGAAATAAGTTCTACTCTACTCTTGTAGAGATTTTTTATGACTTCAGGGAGTGCTTTGTTTGTAGTCAAATATCTCATCATCATTGCCCATGCCCTAAAACAATAATATTCAATGTCCTAACAATGATTACCATTTACAATGTTGACTGTTTTTGTCTCAGCAGCGTCCCACTCCCTCCAATACATCATCACTGCAACCACATCAAGAATACATTTCCCAGAATACACTGCGGTTGGTCTGGTGGATGGGGAGCAGTTTGTGTACTATGACAGCAACATCAGTAAGATGATTCCAAAGACAGAGTGGATGAAGAAGAATGTGGGTGAAGATTACTGGACCACAGAGACACAGAAGCAGGAACGAGCTCAAGAGATCTTCAAGGCTAATCTGGTTATTCTAATGAAGCGTTTTAATCAGACAGACGGTGAGTGAAACTTCAATTCAAGATCACACCAGTAAAGACAAACATAACAAAATGACTAAAACCCATCTGTGAACGAAGCAATAAGCAATGAGAGGCCTGTGATTTTATCATGGGGTTTACCCTTCCCTGTAATAAAATCGCAGTAAAGAATGCTCTCAAGTGGCTTTTTGCTTTTTTAAAACAGCAGCCAACATGAAATATGATAAAATACACAATTGTTCTAAAAATATTTTGAGTTATTATTAATAAAAATCAACAGAACAAGCATTTTGCCAAGAAATGTAGTTCCTTTAGACTATGGTATCATTACCATGCAACCACGGACCGCTGAATGAAGAGAACGTTCGGTCACCCATCGCTGTATACTGCGGTCATTTCATGAATTTTTTAACTTTTTGTCGTATAACAACGAACATAAGATAACACAGCATTGTTTAATCCGCAAACTCTCTCTTTCTAAGTACTTTGTGGTCACTAAATTACCACCGCGAGTCTTAGCACCAATCCAGCAGCGCCCTCTTCTCACACTGGGGCTGAATCTCAAACGGCTCCCTTCTCCCTACGTAGTGCACTACGAACAAGTTTAAATACTGGATCCTGCAGCCCAACAGAGCAAAAAATAGGTAAGAAACGGTCATGCGGGATTCAGCCATATACATACTGCATAAATGATGCACTTTTTGGCTGTAGAGGTTAAAATTTCTAAACTCTTATAACTAGAACACTATTTAGGGAGTACGGAGCCGTTTGGGATTCAGCCTGGGTTTGACGCTGCTTCTGAATTAGACACAGACATTTGAAGTGTGTAAAGCATTCAAGTGACTTTTTTAGACTTTTATACTGCAGTTTTACAATTAATGATACCGTAAGTGTTTCTTACTTCTTCAGTACACTCGGCGGTCCATGCAAGCAGCATTAGAGTCAGAGATTATTCCATTAACAGCACAAGGGTTTTTTAATGCTGTGGCACAGTGCTATTGATATTGTGGATTTTACAATGGCTTCGAACGCGGATCAGATTTTAGGACTGGAACTATCTGTTTTATGCAGTGCTATAAATTTCTTCTTTGTATTACAATTATTTTTACTATTTAAATCTTAGTTTTCTCTCAGACGTAGACATAGCGCACGATAGCCTATAAACCCCTGTATGCATATGTGAAATAGGTTCTTGTTGATGTTCCTTTCTATTATACGCTCTTCAAGGTTCTTCAAGGGTTCTTTCGTTAAGGGGAATGGTTCTATTTAGAACTATTACAGCACCATAAAGGGTTCTTCTATGTCACAATGTCAAGCTTGTAACAATAGAAGAATTGTTTTTGGTGCTTTATTGAACCACAACACATTCTCCATCAATCTGAAGAACCATTTCACCATACTAAGAACAATTTAAGCATGGAAATGGTTCTTTGAGTGTTCAAAGTTCTATCTAGAACCACTGTCTTCACTAAAGAACCCTGAAAGAACCTTTTTTCTTTAAGAGTGTAGCTCAGATATTCAAATCCTGGCTTATTTGGGTGTGAGGACTCCCACTGGACAGTGCTATGTGGAGTCCAGAAGAAATGTTCATGTTGTTGTGTGTCTCTGCAGGTGTTCACACGTTACAGAGGAGGTCTGGCTGTGAGACGGGTGAAAATGACACTGTTACAGGATACTTTCAGTTTAGTTATGATGGAGAAGACTTCCTCATTCTGGATATGAGCACCTTAACCTGGACTGCAGCTCATCAGAAAGCTGTTAGTACCAAACAGAAGTGGGAGACTGCTGGAGATCCAAATTACAGGAAGCACTATCTGGACACCGACTGTGTCGACTATTTAAGGAAGTATGTGGAATACGGCAGATCCACTCTGGAGAGGAAAGGTACAGTACTGCTACTGTAACTGCAGCCTCTGCTATTTAAAACCCAGCTCATCAGCCCCAGTGATGTCACATGCACTCTATGCCACAATGGCAGAATCAGCCCAATGGCACGGTAACTTTTTGCTGCTGCTGTTTAGCGACATCATCGTTACCTAATGGTTTCTAATGGTAATCATCAAGCCAAATACCATTAGGAAGCTAAACTGTCAGTTTTATTCCTAACGGTTCTAATCGTCTTTAGGATGGTTTTCATGAGTTTCAGTGGTAGCCTGTTCTGCTTTTTTATGTCTCATCGTCTTATTTATTTATCGTTGTTATTTATTTCAGTTTCCATATTTAATTACTTTATTATCAGTACAACAACGTTATTATATGCTCAGTGTGACTTGTTGCCCAACATTACATGGTACACTGTTTTTTCTCATAAAACCGACAAAAATACTGTCGTGGCAGAGCAGCACTGACGTCATTAATAGGCTGCGGGTGCATCTCAGACGGAGAGTGAATGTCTGCAGCCAGACCCTTCTTGGACTCAGGCCACACACATACTCACAGCTACTGTATCTGCGTAAATAGGTGTTTAGTATGAGTTTTTATATGTATGTTTTAGGTAATACAAAATACCCTCCATAACTGCCCACTCCTTAATTACCAGCTCAGTCACCTAAACTGTTCCAGATTTTTTGATACACTGACTTAATGGTGTAAATAATGCAGTGATCGTACAGTACTTTAAATACTTGGATATATGAAGTTTTGCTGAAATAACTACATTTAACAGTATCGCCATAAATACACTGGGTACCCCTAATGCACTGCATTTATACACTTAATTATCAATTTAAATGCATTTTTTTTCTCAAGTATCTAGCACTATATAGCTTCACCAAAAAAAAAAAACAAAAAAAAATACTGTATGATTTATTAAAAAAAATGGATCTAAATCAGATCCAGAGTTGTTTTATATAACGTTTGCTTTTGAAACATCCGTGAATGAGCAATTGTGCCTCAGCTGAAAAGCACACTTTTTTCATTCTAATCACAAACCTCAAGACATGTCACAAATAATCAAACTGCTGCGTACTGATAGTTAGTATATTATAGCTAGTTAGTTAGCTAACGTTAAGATGCTGTAGGCTACAAAACACAATTAAAGCAAACTTAAACTAATGAAATGCTATAAGTGAGATGCTATAAGCACAAACTCGCTAGCTTTATTGCATGCGCATGAGCAGGTAATGTGTTTTTTTTTCATGATGTGTCACGGAAGAAGGACGTGATTCGTGAAACAGGACTACAGAGACAGTGTGTGTTCACAAGCTGCACTGTGTTGTTTAGTTCATCATACGTGGTAACATCATCTAGCCAGGCTCTCCTGGCAAGCTGACAGACCAGGCCACTGGGAAATCTTCCGTTTCCCCCGACAGCCAGTCCATTTTATTTTATACTGGTTCTATTTGGCTTCACCCCTATATTTTCCATCGTACTTGACAAAATATATGTAATCTACATTTTTCTACTAGTCTGAGGTTTTTCAAGATAGCTACACAATATTGGTCTCAAATTGGTCAGGGACGTTTGAAGGTCAATAATTATTTTTAAAAATTGGACATTTGTAAACAATATGGCTGCCTTGTTCAAATTAAACCCTTTGGGATTTAGCTTAAATCACAAAAATTGCTACAGATCTGGATTACTTTGGCCAATTCTCATGAAACTTAGAAGTCTAATACTGTACATGATTTTGAGGAAGTCCACCAAGGTTGACACCAATTATTCAAAAGTGGGTGCTATAACATTCAAAAAAACTGTTTCTCAGTAACCACTTGGTTGATTGAGCTGAAAGTTTGCATGCTGAATTGTTGTGCTACTTTATAACTGTGATGTTAATGACAACTCATTAATTGGACAAATATGGCCACTATTGGCCAATAAGCTTTCAACAGGCATTTGGCAGGCTTAGCCCTGGTCGATTCGATTATGATTCAGAGGCTGCAATGCAATTAATAAACTGATTATCAATGCATCTTTTTTTCTATACAGGATCTCTTTTTTTCTCACTGTGTGAGAACTTGGTAGTGTTAAAGCAAAGTATTTGTAACAGTCCGTAATGAATTTATTTCCAGTATCTTTTATTAATAAAATGAATGGAAGTGATGAGGCAAGTGAACTAGAAGGCTCTCATTCACTACTTTTGTTTGGAGCACATCAGATGCTGATGGCACTCATCTGTGAGAAAATTCACAGTTACGGTGAAATAAGATCCTGTAGTAATGAGTGTCCACGCAGCACATGTTACAGCCGTCCTACCTGTTTAACTCAGTGATTCTATAACTTCGGTTTGGGTCTTGTTGTAGAGATTTTGGGGGGTCGCTGTGTCAGTAAAATATCTTAGAGACTGGACGCTGTATCTCGGCTCCAAAGTGTGCAACATAGCGCGAAAGCCCTGGTTCTCAACGACTGAGAACTGGTGTGCAGACTGAAGATCACATAGCAACGCAGTCTCGTCTAGCTAGTCGCTAACGAAAAGGCAAAGAGAGAGAGATTTAAGATGAACATTTGGAGACGAATGGACTTACTCGCGTTTATAAGCAGCGTAGTTGGTTTCCTGATATATTAAATCTGCAACGAGAGACTCTCAAACACTAAAAAATTGTGAAGATGAAGTCGCTTCTCTTTCGAATTCTTCCGTTCCACCTTAAATGGTGCTGCTTTTACATTCAGTGCCTCAGTCAGAATGTTCCAGAAGGTGGAATGGGAAAAATTCGAACAAGAAGCTGGAGAATGAGAAGAGACTTCAGCCTCGTAAAACAGTCAAACGTTGACAGACATTTTACAAAAAGCTGATCTACTTTTGAGGAAAAGTTTCCTGGAGATGGGAGGAAAGCGGCTACAGCTAAAGCTTAAAGCAGAGTAAAGTAAAACTGCGCTTTCGTTAATATTGTTTAGTCTGTACTAGGACATTAACAAACTGAGACATATTAGACATTAAATGTTGTGGCTTCCAAGGTGGTTTGATTTTTGTTGAAAGGACAAAATGGCTCTTCTTATCATTTGTGTTGTGACTCCTGATCTAACCTGGCTTTAATGCAGAGGGAGCCGGTCAGATTTCTGACTCCTCCAGTGGTGTTTTTGTTATGTGCTGCACAGACTGTCCGGGCGCTGCACTTCCGCACTTCCAAGTTCATTCCAAGTTGATTCAGAATCGTCCACATCCGCATCGCGTTGCATCTAAAATCTTGACTTTATTGCAAAGAATAGCCACGGGACATCAACTACTCTGTAGAGCATTGCTTTTTCTTAAATAATAGGCTACAAATCCATCAGTATGTGAAGTTAAAACAACTGTAGTTTGTGACTTCTGAATACTTGTTGGATGCTCGGCACTCTGGCTGCTTGTGTATCTGCCACATGGAGCTAAAAACTAGCAGTATTCTCATCCACATTACATGCCATAACATTTAAATGTCAGGAAAATCATTCCAAACTCGAGCTGAACTGATCCCAATGTTTAAATGAGTCTGTAGTCAAATTCTCACTTCACACTTGAGCAATTTTGCTTTTGCTTTGAGTGATCAAACTCCCTCTCGCACCCCAAAAATGGGCATTTGAAAACGAGCGCCATCTCATATTAGTGAAGTGGAGTGGTGTGTGGGAGAGTGACCTGACTGATAATCAGTTAGTGTAATGTAGAATATCCAGGATTGCACCCAGCAAAGTGTAATTCCTCAACACTGTTTAGGGGTCAGAATAACAATATTTTAGGAACTTAAGAGTAATTTAGGCACTCATCAGTGCACAGTAAAGTACATTCATTAAAATAATCTTAAACTCCTGAATTGTTCATTAAATTGAACATTGCACAATGTAATGTAAACCACTCCCCCCATCTCTCTCTCTCTCTCTCTCTCTCTCTCTCTCTCTCTCTCCAGTCTCTCCTGAGGCGTCTATGTTCCAGAAGGACTCTTCTTCTCCAGTGGTGTGTCATGCTACAGGTTTCTTCCCCAAAGCAGTGATGATCTCCTGGCAGAAGAATGGAGAGGATCTGCATGAGGACGTGGAGCTCAGAGAGACGCTACCCAACCAGGATGGAACCTTCCAGAAGAGAAGCGTTCTGACTGTCTCACCTGAGGAGCTGAACAAACACAACTACACCTGCATCATTCAGCACAGCAGCCTGGAGAAGGAGATGGTACTAACAGTGTCTGATTACAGAGTCCTGCCAGGTAATTTTGCTTCCTAAAGGTAAAAATTAGTAAATAAGTTACTGTTAATCATTGTATTCATGATGCAGCTCATGAAGGTCTACAGAGATGTAACATTCTTGTGTTTCAGATGGAGGATCAGTTATCATAATTATTATCACAGTGGTGGCTGCTCTTCTCATTGTCATCATTGTCTGTTTTGGGTTTCTCATTTGGAAGAAGAAGAAGCAGAATAAGCCTGGTAAGGGAGGAAGGAGGCAAATATCCAGCTTGGAAAAAGAAACACAGACACTTTTGGATTCCTATACACTTTATAACATATAGCATAATTTTTAAATATCTAAACAAATTTGAAAGCAGGAGAGTTTAGTTTAGTCCTACAACTGTAAGTCATTTTAAAATTATCTTAATTATTATCATGTCATTAATGGACAGTGGGTATACAATAAACTGTAATCAGTTGTTTTTATAATAACTCATATCCATCATCTGTCTTTCAGGCGTCAGAGCTGTTTCAGGAAAAGATTAAGCCCGTAAGTGAATTTATAGACTACATATTTAGCTCTCTTGTAGAACCCTGGTGTTGTAATAATTTCCCAAAAAAACTTAATGTAATCAACCCAATAATGTAATAATATAATAATAATGTATGTACCCAATTATACACTACAGTTAGGTAGTAATATTTTTACAGATAATGTAATCATTTTTATTACTGGGAATTTATCACATTTTAAGGGTGATCTACTTGCTCTCGAATAGATGATAATGAATTTCCAATAATGTAATAAGTTACAACACTAACAGTACAAATATTCCTACATTATCACTTGACACATCGTATTACATTGTGGGGCAGGTTTTACCTTATTGGCTTATTGGGTTTTATTAGATTTTTGAGCTAGTTAAGAGCTGAATTGCTATTTTGTATCACATTATATTATTGGGTTATACGTCTCTTAATCATGTGCACTTAAGTGTTTAATTGTATTTAATTGTATTACATGTTTTACAGCTTCTGAGGGAGCCTCATCATCCATCAGATCCTGACGACCAAAGGTCAACATGTTGATTACAGAGAGTCTTTCTTACAGCATACAAAGCTGTTTCACTGCTGCATATCAAGTCCTTTCAATGTATGTGGCAACTCAGTCGAGTGTCTTCATGGTCACAGTATTATTTTTTTTATTGTACATTCATCAAATCTGTATTTTTTTGTGACTTTTTTGTGGAAAACTTTTGTGGAGAGTTTGTATGGTGATGGTTTCTTGAGAAAGGACGCGATCTATGAAGGCGTGTCCTTCGAAGGCTAGTCGGCTCTATGGTGGATTTCCTGTTTGCGTCACAGCACCGCTGTTCCTGCCCTTACGGCTGTGTCACGAAACGCTGTTCCTGTCACGTTCCTTTAATACCCTTTAAAGACGGGGCCAGAACACAGCTGTTGTTTTTTAGGTAATAGATTCATGGATAGTGTGCTGAGTCTTCACTAGAGGAGTTTTAGCAACTTGGCTGCTCAGGAGGAATTAAAAAAACTCCAAAGTGTCTGTCCATCATGAAGTTTTTGAGTAACAAAAAAAACTATGGAATCTACTGGGTTTAGTTGGCATTCAGACAATCTGTAGTTTAATCAGATGTAGGCACACATCTAAAATGGCTTAAATTATCCAATTCTTCAAGTAGGAGTGGCGATATGAACTCAAATTCATATCATAGTACTTTATTTTATTCAGACTATAACAGTATGATATTACAATATAGAAAAAAGTGAAAACATAATAGCAACAGTAATAATAACAGTAACAAAATATTGCAAAAATAATAACTATTATTATTGTTACAGCTAGTACTATTGTTGGTATGATGCCATTATTATTATTATTATTATTATTATTATTATTATTATACTGGCAACTAAAAGTATTCTTCATTGTGTAAATACTTGCTTCTTCAGAATGGAAGCAGGTTTTAGTCTCTCCTGCAGCCTCTCCTCATGTTTGTTTTTACCTCTTCACTCATTCTCAATCCCATTTTGCACCTTGAATTTGGAGTCTAGAATAATATTTTACAGCTTGCTGCATCTAACAAAGCTCACTATTCCAGGCTTCAGCAGCACAAATGCGGCATGTGTGAGGTAGTTGTAAACCAAGCAGGAAAATGCCATATCTGTGTGAACGGTCATCAGGCGAGGGCTGTAGCAGAAACAGCGCATAACAATACAACATTTTTATTAAAATAGTAGTGTAGTCCAAACCTAGACGTCCCACACCACTGTATAATTTCTACCTGCACTACTCTTTAGTCTTAACTAGTCTGGCACAAATTCTATCCTAACGTCTTTACAGGCTTTAGCCACATTGACTGCTCCTCACAACTACAACACTGTTGTACAGCGCTCAGTGATATGTTTGGTGAGTGTTTGTCGTGTTCTGATCATAAAGGATAGTTTAAAACCACAAGTAACCACCCAGGAGCAAAAATCAGCCTTCAAACTTGAAAGGAGTAATGATTCGACACTGTGAGTTTGACTGATATGAACATTTTTATCAGGATAACATTTCTGGCCATATTGCCCAGCTGTAGCTGGAGCCTATCCCAGCGGTCATGAGGCAGAAGATAGGAAACACCCTGGACAGGCCGCCAGTCCATCAAAGGCCAGACAGACAGACATATGCACTCACACACACACTAACACTTAGCGGCAATATAGCGTGTCCAATTGGCCTGACTGCATGTCTTCGGACTGTGAGGGGAAACCGGAGCACACAAAATGTGGCCTGAACAAAAGTGACACATTATATATTATATATTTTTTTCAAATGTGTCAAATTCCGCAAATAAATGTAGCTGTGCATTAAAATGGGTAGAAGTGTGTTCTCTGTAGAGGACATGTTCATTTGTTTTCACTTAGAAATAACAATGCAATTAGACCATGTTCAGATTTTACACACAGTTGTATACATGTTAAAAATGGAGATATAATACTGTATATTTTTATATAGGCTTTGTTGAAAACAAAACGCTAAATAAAATTAGCATTATATATGTGCAATATTCTATTGTAAAATATTTTATATGTAATGAGTCTTTATTTGTACAGTTTGTGTTGGAAATGCTGTATGTTTGTGATTAAAAGTTGTATTTTAACTTTTAGACTTTAAAGGCTAATTTTTTCTTGGTGTATCATCATCATTGGGATTTTGAACAGATGCTTTTTTTATTTCTAAATGTTTATCTTGGTGAACCTTGCTTTTTTAGCTGAGCTGTGGGAATTTAATCAGTTCTTCCTTTATGATCTCCACAGCTTGACACTATAAACAAAGCACAATATCCTTTCTCCCTGACTGTGTCTGAGTGATGACTGCAGGTGTACTGCAGGTGAACTGGATCCCGCATACAAAATTCCAACTTAAGCTGAACTAATTATAGTGATAGAAATGACAACCTGCAGTGACTGTTTAAAGTATGATGGGATTTAATAAAATTATTTTCTAATATTCTTCATTTAATGTAGCCTGGCTCAGTTAGTTAGGTGGGCTGTTAGGTGTAAGCACGTATTTTAACAGGTGTACCTGCTCTGCAATCAGTCATGTGAGGAGGACCTCTGACCAATCAGAGGCCTGGCTGGTGTAGTTGGGGGAGGAGCTTATGCTTTAAAAGAGGTCTTCAAGCGGGCTGATGGCAGATAGAGAGGCCTAATTATCTGTGCTGTGTTGTAGTTTTTAAATCTCTTGTGTTGCTTTAGTTTTGGTGTTTTTCCTGCACACTTTAAACTTGTGATTGATTATTTGTACCACCTGGGGTTTCAAACAGGCACGAAGGACACCTAAACATTCTCACCATGTCTGTCCACTCTGTCTAGCTCTCAAGGTCAGAGGGCACTACCACATGTGCTTCTGAATGCTGGAGAGTGTAGAGTAGTTGGCTTTTGTTTCTTCTTGTTGGTTAGTTAAGTGCTTCTTGTTTGAGTAGGCAAGCTTGGTTAGGTCTTTTGTAACCATTTAACAGAGGTTAAATGTCGTGATGGCTGTCCTACCTCATCGCTCAGACACAGGGGCATCCCAGCTTGTTCGACGCTCCATATACTGAGGAGCTCATTGCATGTTTTGTTCAGATTGATTCATCCCAGAATATTTGGGGTGTCTTTCGAGTGAATCTCCCTGTACATAGCAACAAATCTGCACATCTTTTCATGAGAAGCACAAAGTCTTAAACGCTCAGCCTGGTTTGGTACGCAGTGACATGGCTTTCTATTTCTTCACCAGGGGGTTGTACTGACAGGACACTAGTATGTGAATGTTTCATTTGCATGTCTCTAGTTAGTAGTTTTAACGATGTTGCACAGTATAATTCGTTAGCTTTAGAAACAAATGTGGGGAATCACCCCTTCTTAAGGATGATATCCATGTACTGTAAAGATAAGCCAGATCACTATCATGTACAGAATGCTAATTTATAAGCTCATAGACTCTCATTGTTAAACTATCCAGTTAGGCTCAATGTTATTTATGCCAGGTTTAGGTCTAAGGTAGAGGTTAGTGTTAAAGCCAGGTTCAGGGTTTGGGAAAGTCTAGCTGAATTTAATAGTGTAAGTTAAATGTAAGGTAAGCATCTACAGTAAACAAACAGCAACATAGTAGAAGCTTTAGTTCTCATTCTGCATTTCTTTTGAAAATTCTTAAACTTGTGTGAAGTCTAGCCTGTTTTTATTTTAAGTGATGTCTAACTCAAGGTTTTGCTATTAGCATCTTTACAGCCAAGCAGTGTACTCCAGTGTACTTTACAGCCAAGCAGATTACACTCCAAGCAGTGTAATCTCCTCCCTCTTGGATAACTTACAGGTTGTAAATGTTATTCAAATTCAAGTACAGATTACAGATTAGGACCTGGTCAGACCTGCTCCTTCAGCCCCGAGTCTCTCGCCCTCCTAGCATAATCTAAGGTTTCTACTAATGTAAACTGTTTTGAAACGCATTTGAACGCAAAACTGGGTATTAACACTTTATTTCTTTCTCTCTATGTATCGTTTGTACCTTTTCTCTTGTTGACATTCTAGGTTTTAGTTTTCTTATAGTTGGCTAGCTGTACAGCCTAGTAGATGTCTTATTAGTATGTGTCTGTGATGCTAATTCTTGTATTTTACACACATTGTTTTATTATTCTCAGGTAAATTCCATGTTAGTTTTCTAGGTAAAAATAATGAACATATGCTACAGAGAGGATTAAAACACACATTTTAATGCACTTTTTTATTTGCTGAATTTAACAAACTGGGTAATAAAACCCAATGTGCCTCATAAATGTGCAATGTTCTATTGTGCAAAATATTTCATTAACAGTTTGTGCTTTGTGTAAAATTTGTACACCTTAAGACAAACTTCAGTGATTTCTAGACACAAACTACTATTATCACACGCTGCCTAAAACATTCCATTTGAATGGCAACGAGTGAGTATAGCAGAGAACAGAACACGCCTTTGAGTTATTCAATCAATTGTGTACTCAGTGGCCACTCATTCAGCTAATATTTACTGCAGACATTTGTGGTCTAAGCCTTCTGAGGCTCCTGATACTCGGAGGCCCCTGGGCACTGGCCTCATTGTCTTACTCTGTAATCAATCTCTGCTCTTTATTTGTAATGGTTGTTTATTAGTACAGTTTGTGTTGGAAATGCTGTATGTTTGATTAAAAGTTGTATGTGAATCCTGACTTTTGTGTTTTGGTGTATCATCTTTGGGATTGTGAACGGATGGTTGTTTATTTCCAAATGTACATCTTGGTCAACTTTTTCTTTTAGCTGAATTCCAATACTTTATCTCCACAGCTTCAAACTATATACACACACAGCACAATATACTTTCTCCCTGATTAAGTAGTGACTGCAGGTGGACGTTTGACAAATTTTGCCCCCTTCAGAACAGTTTACTGTAAAGCTTCACCAGATCAGTTTATCATGTACAGAATGCTGACTTATAAACTTACACACAGAGTAAATCAACTGGAACAGCAGACAGTTCTGGGTCCCACAGATAAGCCAGTGGAGGGCATGTGATAGTCTACCCAAGGTTCTGCTGGGAAACTGGGTCCAGCATTCATGCAGACACCAGTTTGACGTGCCACCTACTGAAACATCGTTGTGGACCAGGTTGAGCCCCTAATGGTGATGGTATTCCCTAATGGCAGTGGCCTCTTCCAGCAGGACAGTGTGTTCTGCCACATTGCACCCATTGTTTGGGAATTTTAAAGGAACATAGTGAAGTGAAGGTGTTGCCTTGGCCTCCAGATTCTCCAGATCTCAATCTGATCCAGTGTGTGTAGGATGTGCTGAACAAGTCTGATCAGCTGATGTCTTGGAGCCAGAAACCACAGGGACCCTTCAGAGGTCCTGTAGCATCCATGTCTAGGCAGGTTGAAGCTGTTTTGGTGGTGCAAGGAGGACCAGCAGCATATTAGGCAGATTGTTGTATTTAGAAAATGCTGAACTTAGGTTTACTAATTATGACAATTTAAATATTAAATGTTTTGATTTAATCTGTTTTACTGACAAAGTGTAAGGGGCTCAAATTTAAACCTCTTTTTAAGTGTGGAGTTTAAGTATAAAAAGCCTCCTCTAATAAGATTGAAATCAGTTAAACATGCAAATATAACAGCACCTAAATTAACCTTTAAAATAACTACATCTCTAAATGGATCTTGGAAGAATAGGTGTTTTGTGTGTGTAAAGACACAAACACCTGTTCATTGTTGAGACGTTATGTTGATGGGAAATGCTTAAACATTTAAACAAAATTAAAAAAATATTCATGTTTAATATGTTTTTCTTATATCTGTTGCAGCTGGCCTTAAAAAGGGAGATTTGGGTTTAAAAAAAAACATTGGTCACTATCAAAATATGGCTTTTGGACATGTAAAAGCTGGTCTGTTTTCTTTGGGGACTGATTTATATGCTGGACTGAAGATGCTCATGGCTGTTTCAGGAGGTAAGGTTGTGGTGGAGAGCGCATCCTGTAATCATCTCTCTTTACAGGTAAACACACAGAACACCCATAGTGCTTTGTGAATGAGCTGAATTCAGTGTACAGCTGTACTTAAAGTATGTTCTGTTGGTAGAAAAGCGCTCTAAGTGGAGTTAAATGTGTTGGTGGTCGTGAGCGGTGAAACGGCTGAACACACAAACCCCCCATAGTTAGACAAGGACCACGAGGCTCTGAACACACCGCATCTAAAACAGTGTGTGTGTGTGTTCATTACGATCAGGTAAAAGGTACTAATGTTACTGAAGTAACCTACATGCTTCTAATGTCGGATTAGAGAGGTTAAAACAACAGTTTACACGTTATTGTAGCAGTATTTATAGGAGAACTCCACCAATTTTTCAAAGTTTGTGTGTAATTAAATGGTTGTGAGTTGTTTGGTGTGAAATGCTCTGTTCTAGAGAAACTTACAGAGTCAGAATTGTTCACAGTGGTGGTGATAGGAACCAGACGTCCACCTCTAAAAGCTCCCTCACAGAAAGTTACTACATTAAATGAATGTGTTGTCTGATGCGTGAGACATTGTGTTGTGATAAAGGTTTGGCTTGAAATGTACTTGAATCCGTTTATGTTAATCCATTCATGGCGGAGGGGTACATGCACGGCGTGCTGAGACAAAATAGTCCCCAACAAAAACGAATTTTTTCAGATTTATGACTGTTTTACCATCAACATTACATATAACACTCAGAAGACTCGTGTAGGTTCACTGGTGGTTCTGGATAGTAAATAAAATGTCTATATTTGTGTTGTAGTCATGGTGACCCCTGGTTCCTATCACCACCACTGTTAAAAAAAAAGTTGGTAAATTTCTCTACAAATGAATTACTGAACATAAAATCACTCTGAATGACTTTGATTATAGCTTAACCATCGAATTACTGAGGAATTTTAAAATAAAAAGTGGTGGTGTTCCCCTGTAAGTTTGAGAATTGAGTGTGAATGGTCTAAAAGAAACACTAATAATTAACATGTTGGTACAATAATGTAGTCTTTTCTGTTATCAGTCATTTTTGGTCTGTTGCCTTTGGCGCCCTCTGGCGTTGGTTTGATAATATTTCTCTAAGTATTACTGTGATTTAATGTCTTTCTACAGTAAGAAATTCACTTCTACTGTTATTAATAATAAAATCTTAAACAGTAAACGCTGTTATTCAGTCTTTGTCCGATGATGAACTGATTTTACCAAGTTATAATCGACTCTCCTTCATCAGAAGAGAACCGCGGGCTTCCAAAACCATGAACATCAGCTTCCTCCTGGCAACTGATGACGCCACACGAGTAGCTTTTTTCATTGGCTGCTCAAGTCTCATGTCTGTGCTGGACGGGTTGCCACTTACACTTTACAGACGAAACATGTGAAAGTGCATTAAAAGTGTGGAAAGAACTAAGTAACACGTCTGTAAGAGTGTCTAGAAGTAGAGATGTTTAAAGTAGTGCTCTGCACATTTATACAGTAACTAAACCATCAGGCTCTTCATTTTCCTATAGAACCTGTGCATCCATAGCGCAATACATCACAGAGAGATTATGTGGCAACCCATTTCCTCACAGAAGAAGTTAAAGTAAGATGTGGACGATTCTTAATGCGATTCTGTTTGTGTAATATTTCTATAAAGAAATATTACATATACAGAATGACAAACCTCAGTGCTGGTTAATGGATTACAGACATGGTGTGAAGAAATGGCTCCTTTTGCTGCTGCTCAGCGTCCAAGCAGGTAAGTTTGGTGAACTTCCTGACCTGTATGCTGGTACAGGAATATAGTTAACTCTCAAGCTTGGATAAAAAAGGCCAACATGCTCGTATTCTGTTGGTATTCTGGACTAACTGTGTGCTAGTTGTAAAAATCTATCAAAAATCTGTAAAAATGCTATTTTTGCGGTATTCATACTGTTGTGGGAGCTGTTGTTTGCAGTCCTGGGTGGGCGGTAAAAATACTGAATTTGAGTCCGCGTTGTTAACCTTTTAAAGTAGCAGCCAAAGATGATAGACTACTGTTTGGCATTCTGGTACTGTAGCATTTCAAAAAACGAGTTCATGTTTTCTGGAATCAATGATCAGTTAAAAAAAAACGTGTGAGGGGTGTTGGCTGTTGGCTCGACTTCCTTTTGTTCTGTCTGGGGTGCCTCGTGGCGTCCGCTCTGCAATGTCTTCCGGTTTTCTCAGACGCTAGAGTGAGTGAGTCCAAAATGAATGGGTTGATATGGAGCATTTGAGCAAAATCATAGTTTATAAATGCTGAAACATTTTTAATGTAAAAGAATACAATCATTTCCTGAACAGTGAATATCATAAAACATTTTAACACCGCTGTTATATTTTTAAGAGCTTTTAAACGGCGCCTCATGTACGTTCATGACGTCAGTGAGCACGAACAGCCAATGAGCTGCTCCGCTCGCCAATCAATCATCACGCTCTAGCAGTAAAGCCCGCCTCCTGCTGCCCAAAACCCGTTTACTGTAGAAAGAAGGAAACATACAGGTGAGTTTTCTTTGTTTTTTATTGAAATACATCCTTCTACATTATAAATTAAAGGAAAGTTCTGGGCGAGTGATTAGAAACTATTTTAACTGCTTGGTTTTTTAGCGTTGAGCTCCATTCACTCCCATTCATTGAGGACTCCCTCGTAGGCGGTCATGTTCTGACCATAAATGATAGTTTAAAACAGCGATTAACCACCCAGGAGCAAAAATCAGCCTTCAAACTTGAAAGAAATAATGATTTGACATTTATCGCGATATGTATCATTATCAAACGATATGAATTTTGTTTATCGTGATAACATTTTTGGCCATATCGCCCAGCTCTAATTCTAAATGAGATCTCCTCTTGATCTCAGGGTTCTTCTCCTAGATACAGTTAAGTCCAGTTTGAAATCAGAGTGAGACTTGAGCCATTTTCTCCTGCTTCTGAATTTTGGCTCCTGAAAAAATAAAACTCACTTTGATCAAAATGTTGTCACACATGTGGATTAACTCTTTAGTGTCAGACTCGTCTCAGCCCAGTGTCAGCTGAATAATATCTCTGTAGAAAAAGTATAAGATCTCATCGTCATCTGTCAGTGCAAAAGGAGAACTCATGCTTTTCTCCTTCATCACCAGAACTTCTCACAGTGAAATGCTGATGTTAATCTCCTGTTTTCTCCTAAGGGGGGGTTTAGGAGAAAGAATTCAGAAATTAGTGATCCTTCGTTAACATAATGCTGAGATATGCTTTATTTCTCTGAGACAATCTTAAGAAATATTTTTTCCCCATGGGATATGCCATGTTATATGAAATTGGCCATTTTCAAATGGGGCATATATTTCAGGCATATCACCATATACAAACGTATATGTATAACATAATTAACAATATATGATACAAAACATTAATCATATATGGGCAACGTACAACCCCATTTCCAAAAAAGTTAGGATATTGTGAAAATAGAAATAGAGTGCAATGATATACAAATCATTTAAACCCTATTTAAAATTTTAAAAAGTAAAAAGACAACATCAAATGCCGAAACTGAGAAATTTTACTTTTTTTTCAAATATTTTGAATTCGAATCCAGCAACATGTTCCAAAAAAGTTGGGACGGGGTCATGTTTACCACTGTGTTTCATCACGTCTTCTTTTAAGAACACTATAAGTGTTTGGGAACTGAGGAGACACTGCTGTAGTTTTGAAAGTGAAATGTTTTTCTGTTCTTACTTGATATAGGATTTCAGCTGCTCAACAGTTCAGGGGCTCTTTTATTGTATTTTTCATTTCATACTGCGCCAAATGTTATCAGTGGTGACAGATCTGGACTGCAGGCAGGTCGGTTTAGCATCCGGACTCTTTTAATATGGAGCCATGCTGTTGTAATACGTGCAGAATGTGGTTTGGCATCGTCTTGCTGAAATAAGTAAGTTCTGTGCACTAATGCACTCCTGTACCATCACAGATCCTGGCTTTTGAACTTAGCTGATAACGAGCTGGGTGGTCTTTAGTTTTAACTTGCATTTGTGGATGCAGTATTGAACTGTTTTCACAGACAGTGGTTTTCAGAAGTGTTTCTGAGCCCATGCAGTGATTTCCACTACAGAATCATGTCTGTTTTTAATGCAGTGCTGCCTGAGGGCCCAAAGATCATAGCCACCCAATATTTTTTTTAGGTTTTCAGCCTTGTCTCTTGAATACAGAGATTTCTCTGGATTTTCTGAATCTTTTAGTGTTATTATGTACCGTATATACAAGATTTGCAAAGTGTAGCTGTTGTTTTCTCTATTTTCTCCAGTGTCATTAATGTAGGGCTGTAAACTCTTGAAGAGATTTTTTACACAATAATATTCCATGCCCTAACAACAGTTACCATTTACCATATTGACTTTTTTGTCTCAACAGCGTCCCACTCCCTCCAATACATCATCACTGAAACCACGTCAAGAATACATTTCCCAGAGTACACTGTGGTTGGTCTGGTGGACGGGGTGCAGTTTGTGTACTATGACAGCAACATCAAGAAGATGATTCCAAAGACGGAGTGGATGAAGAAGAATGTGGGTGAAGATTACTGGACCACAGAGACACAGAAGCAGGAAGGAGCTCAAGAGATCTTCAAGGCTAATCTGGATATTTTAATGAAGCGGTTTAATCAGACAGACGGTGAGTGAAACTGATATAAAAGATCATATCAGTAAAGACAAACATAACAAAGTGACTAAAACCCATCTATGAATAAAGCAATAAGCCATGAGAGGCCTGTGATTTTATCATGGTTTATCTCTGTGATTTTATCCCTTCCCTGTGATAAAATCGCAGTAAAGCACGCTCTTAAGTGTCTTATTGCTTTTATAAAACATGAAATATGATAAAATACACAATTGTTCAGAAAACAATTTGAGTTATTATTAATAAAAATCGACAAAAACGTGTTCTGCCAAGAAATGTAGTTCCTTTACGGTATCGTTGCCATGCAACCATGGACCCCTGAATGAGGAGAACGTTCTGTCATTCATTGCTGTATACTGCGGTCATTTCATGAATTTTTAAACTTTTTGTCGTATAACAACGAACATAATATAACACAGCACTGTTTAATGGAAAAACTCTCTCTTTATACGTACTTTTTGGTCACTAAATTACCACTGTGAGTCTTATTGAGCACTAATCCAGCGGCGCCCCTCTTCTTACGCTGGGGTTGAATCTCAAATGGTTCCCTGCCCCCTACATAGTGCACTACATAGGAGCTTAAATACTGGATCCTGCAGCCCAACAGAGCAAAATACAGCTAAGAAACAGTCATTTGGGATTCAGACACATCCATGTTTGATAAATGATGCACTGTTTTGGCTGTAGAGGCTAGAATTTCTAAGCTTTCATAGCTAGAACAGTATTTAGGGAGTACAGAGCTGTTTGGGATTCAGCCTGGGTTTGACGCTGCTTCTGACTGAAACATGAACATCTGAAGTGTGTGAGACATTCAAGTGACAGTTTTAGACTTTTATACTGCTGTTTTAAAGTTAATCATACCATAAGTAGTTTAATTCAAGCCTGTGATATTAATGACTGAGTTATTTAGCCTGTTTGCTATCTTTTAGCCTGTTAGCTAGCTGACCAGCCTAGTTCTAGTTAAGAACATAAGTTTTCTCACCCCTTCGGTTTAAACAAAAACTGGTTCTTTCTTCATCAGTACACTCAGTGGTCCATGCGAGCAGCATTAGAGTCAGAGATTATTCCATTAACAGCACAAGGGTTTTTTTAATGCCGTGGCGCAGTGCTACAGAGTTCAGCTGATATTGTGGATTTTACAATGGCTTCGAACGCGGATCAGATTTTAGGACTGGAACTATCTGTTTTATGCAGTGCTATAAATTTCTTCTTTGTATTACAATTATTTTTACTATTTAAATCTTAGTTTTCTCTCAGACGTAGACATAGCGCACGATAGCCTACAAACTTATGTATGCATATGTGAAATAGGTTCTTATTGATGTTCGTTTCTATTGTACGCTCTTAAAAAGATGGTTCTTCAAAGGTTCTTTTGTTAAGGGGAGGGTTCTATGTAGAACTATTGCAGCACCATAAAGCGTTCTTCTATGTCACAACGTCAAGCTTGTAACAATCAAAGAATTGTTTTCAGTGCTATATTGAACCATTTACAACACATTCTCCATCAATCTGAAGAACCATTTCACCATACTAAGAACAATTTAAGCATGGAAATGGTTCTTTGAATGTTCAAAGTTCTATGTAGAACCACTGTCTTCACTAAAGAACCCTGAAAGAACCTTTTTTCTTTAAGAGTGTAGCTCAGATATTCAAATCCTGGCTTATTTGGGTTTGAGGACTCCCACTGGACAGTGCTATGTGGAGTCCAGAAGAAATGTTCATGTTTTTGTGTGTCTCTGCAGGTGTTCACACGTTACAGAGGAGGTCTGGCTGTGAGACGGGTGAAAATGGCACTGTTACAGGATACTTTCAGTTTGGTTTTGATGGAGAAGACTGGATCAGCCTGGATATGAACTCTTTAACGTGGACTGCAGCTCATCAGAAAGCTTTTAGTACCAAACAGAAGTGGGAGCATACACGTGATACAGTTTACAGGAAGCGCTATCTGGACAATGACTGTGTTGACTATTTAAAGAAGTATGTGGAATACGGCAGATCCACTCTGGAGAGGAAAGGTAAAGTACTGCCACTGTAACTGCAGCCTCTGTTACCTAAAAACCCAATCTCTGCTACCTAAATATCTATAAAAAGTAAATATATCGTTAAACAATTTAATATATTTACCTATATACATATCATGTATTCACCTTTTACTGTTTTGCCAAGGTGATGGGCAGGGCCGGACTTGGACAGTTATTCAGGCCAGGAATCATGGCAGGACTCGGTAGATAGAGTCTGGCTGCAGACATGAACTCTCAGCCCCAGTGACGTCACATGCACATGCACTCTCTGCCACAATGGCAGAAGCAGCCCAATGGCACGGTAACTTTTGGCTGCTGCTGCTTAGCGACATCATAGTTGCCTAATGGTCTCTAATGGTAATCATCAAGCCAAATCCCATCAGGAAACAAAACTGTCAGTTTTATTCCTAACGGTTCTAATCATCTTTAGAATGGTTTTCATGAGTTTCAGTAGCCTGTTTGTTTTTTTTTCTGCGAATAAACCTGACATTATGTCTTATCGTCGTGGTAGGCTTTATTTATTTCAGTTTCCATATTTAATTACTTTATTACCAGTACAACAACGTTATTATATGCTCAGTGTGACTTGTTGCCCAACATTACATGGTACACTGCTTTTTCTCATAAAACCGACAAAAATACTGTCGTGGCAGAGCAGCACTGACGTCATTAATAGGCTGCGGGTGCATCTCAGGCGGAGAGTGAATGTCTGCAGCCAGACCCTTCTTGGACTCAGGCCACACACATACTCACAGCTACTGTATCTGCATAAATAGGTGTTTAGTGTGGGTTTTTATATATATGTTTTAGGTAATACAAAATACCCTCCATAACACTCCTTAATTACCAGCTCAGTCACCTAAACTGTTCCAGATTTTTTGATACACTGACTTAATGGGGTAAATAATGCAGTGATATATGAAGTTTTGCTGAAATAACTACATTTAACAATATCCCCATAAATACACTGGGTACCCCTAATACACTGCATTTATACACTTAATTATCAATTTAAATGCATTTTTTTTCTCAAGTATCTAGCACTATATAGCTTCACCAAAAAAAAAAAACAAAAAAAAATACTGTATGATTTATTAAAAAAAATGGATCTAAATCAGATCCAGAGTTGTTTTATATAACGTTTGCTTTTGAAACATCCGTGAATGAGCAATTGTGCCTCAGCTGAAAAGCACACTTTTTTCATTCTAATCACAAACCTCAAGACATGTCACAAATAATCAAACTGCTGCGTACTGATAGTTAGTATATTATAGCTAGTTAGTTAGCTAACGTTAAGATGCTGTAGGCTACAAAACACAATTAAGGCAAACTTAAACTAATGAAATGCTATAAGTGAGATGCTATAAGCACAAACTCGCTAGCTTTATTGCATGCGCATGAGCAGGTAATGTGTTTTTTTTTCATGATGTGTCACGGAAGAAGGACATGATTCGTGAAACAGGACTACAGAGACAGTGTGTGTTCACAAGCTGCACTGTGTTGTTTAGTTCATCATACGTGGTAACATCATCTAGCCAGGCTCTCCTGGCAAGCTGACAGACCAGGCCACTGGGAAATCTTCCGTTTCCCCCAACAGCCAGTCCATTTTATTTTATACTGGTTCTATTTGGCTTCACCCCTATATTTTCCATCGTACTTGACAAAATATATGTAATCTACATTTTTCTACTAGTCTGAGGTTTTTCAAGATATCCACACAATATTGGTCTCAAATTGGTCAGGGACGTTTGAAGGTCAATAATTATTTTTTTAAAATTGGACATTTGTAAACAATATGGCTGCCTTGTTCAAATTAAACTCTTTGGGATTTATCTTAAATCACAAAAATTGCTACAGATTAGGATTACTTTGGCCAATTCTCATGAAATTTAGAAGTCTAATACTGTACATGATTTTGAGGAAGTCCACCAAGGTTGACACCAATTATTCAAAAGTGGGTGCTATAACATTCAAAAAAACTGTTTCTCAGTAACCACTTGGTTGATTGAGCTGAAAGTTTGCATGCTGAATTGTTGTGCTACTTTATAACTGTGATGTTAATGACAACTCATTAATTGGACAAATATGGCCGCCATTGGCCAATAAGCTTTCAACAGGCATTTGGCAGGCTTAGCCCTGGTCGATTCGATTATGATTCAGAGGCTGCAATGCAATTAATAAACTGATTATCAATGCATCTTTTTTTCTATACAGGATCTCTTTTTTTCTCACTGTGTGAGAACTTGGTAGTGTTAAAGCAAAGTATTTGTAACAGTCCGTAATGAATTTATTTCCAGTATCTTTTATTAATAAAATGAATGGAAGTGATGAGGCAAGTGAACTAGAAGGCTCTCATTCACTACTTTTGTTTGGAGCACATCAGATGCTGATGGCACTCATCTGTGAGAAAATTCACAGCTACGGTGAAATAAGATCCTGTAGTAATGAGTGTCCACGCAGCACATGTTACAGCCGTCCTACCTGTTTAACTCAGTGATTCTATAACTTCGGTTTGGGTCTTGTTGTAGAGATTTTGGGGGGTCGCTGTGTCAGTAAAATATCTTAGAGACTGGACGCTGTATCTCGGCTCCAAAGTGTGCAACATAGCGCGAAAGCCCTGGTTCTCAACGACTGAGAACTGGTGTGCAGCGCAGTCTCGTCTAGCTAGTCGCTAACGAAAAGGCAAAGAGAGAGAGATTTAAGATGAACATTTGGAGACGAATGGACTTACTCGCGTTTATAAGCAGCGTAGTTGGTTTCCTGATATATTAAATCTGCAACGAGAGACTCTCAAACACTAAAAAATTGTGAAGATGAAGTCGCTTCTCTTTCGAATTCTTCCGTTCCACCTTAAATGGTGCTGCTTTTACATTCAGTGCCTCAGTCAGAATGTTCCAGAAGGTGGAATGGGAAAAATTCGAACAAGAAGCTGGAGAATGAGAAGAGACTTCAGCCTCGTAAAACAGTCAAACGTTGACAGACATTTTACAAAAAGCTGATCTACTTTTGAGGAAAAGTTTCCTGGAGATGGGAGGAAAGCGGCTACAGCTAAAGCTTAAAGCAGAGTAAAGTAAAACTGCGCTTTCGTTAATATTGTTTAGTCTGTACTAGGACATTAACAAACTGAGACATATTAGACATTAAATGTTGTGGCTTCCAAGGTGGTTTGATTTTTGTTGAAAGGACAAAATGGCTCTTCTTATCATTTGTGTTGTGACTCCTGATCTAACCTGGCTTTAATGCAGAGGGAGCCGGTCAGATTTCTGACTCCTCCAGTGGTGTTTTTGTTATGTGCTGCACAGACTGTCCGGGCGCTGCACTTCCGCACTTCCAAGTTCATTCCAAGTTGATTCAGAATCGTCCACATCCGCATCGCGTTGCATCTAAAATCTTGACTTTATTGCAAAGAATAGCCACGGGACATCAACTACTCTGTAGAGCATTGCTTTTTCTTAAATAATAGGCTACAAATCCATCAGTATGTGAAGTTAAAACAACTGTAGTTTGTGACTTCTGAATACTTGTTGGATGCTCGGCACTCTGGCTGCTTGTGTATCTGCCACATGGAGCTAAAAACTAGCAGTATTCTCATCCACATTACATGCCATAACATTTAAATGTCAGGAAAATCATTCCAAACTCGAGCTGAACTGATCCCAATGTTTAAATGAGTCTGTAGTCAAATTCTCACTTCACACTTGAGCAATTTTGCTTTTGCTTTGAGTGATCAAACTCCCTCTCGCACCCCAAAAATGGGCATTTGAAAACGAGCGCCATCTCATATTAGTGAAGTGGAGTGGTGTGTGGGAGAGTGACCTGACTGATAATCAGTTAGTGTAATGTACGATATCCAGGATTGCTCCCAGCAAAGTGTAATTCCTCAACACTGTTTAGGGGTCAGAATAACAATATTTTAGGAACTTAAAAGAGTAATTTAGGCACTCATCAGTGCACAGTAAAGTACATTCATTAAAATAATCTTAAACTCCTGAATTGTTCATTAAATTGAACATTGCACAATGTAATGTAAACCACTCCCCCCATCTCTCTCTCTCTCTCTCTCTCTCTCTCTCTCTCTCTCTCTCTCTCCAGTCTCTCCTGAGGCATCTATGTTCCAGAAGGATTCTTCTTCTCCAGTGGTGTGTCATGCTACAGGTTTCTTCCCCAAAGCAGTGATGATCTCCTGGCAGAAGAATGGAGAGGATCTGCATGAGGACGTGGAGCTCAGAGAGACACTTCCCAACCAGGATGGAACCTTCCAGAGGAGGAGCGTTCTGACTGTCTCACCTGAGGAGCTGAACAAACACAACTACACCTGCATCATTCAGCACAGCAGCCTGGAGAAGGAGGTGGTGCTGCATGTGTCTGAACGCAGAGTCCTGAAAGGTAATTCTGCTTCCTAAAGGTAAAAATTAGTAAATAAGTTACTGTTAATCATTGTATTCATGATGCAGCTCATGAAGGTCTACAGAGATGTAACATTCTTGTGTTTCAGATGAAGGATCAGTTATCATCATCTTTAGCACAGTGGTGGCTGCTCTTCTCATTGTCATCATTGTCTGTGTTGGACTTCTCATTTGTAAGAAGAAGAAGCAGAATAAGTCTGGTAAGAAAGGAAGGACGCAGAAATCCAGCTTGGGAACCCCTACGCCCGTAAGTGAACTTACAGACTATGTATTTAGCTCTCTTGTAGAACTCTGGTGTTGTAATAATTTCCCAAAAAACTTAACTTAAAAATGTAATCAACCCAATAATGTAATAATATAATAATAATGTATGTACCCAATTATACACTACAGTTAGGTAGTAATATTTTTACAGATAATGTAATCATTTTTATTACTGGGAATTTATCACATTTTAAAGGTGATCTACTTTGCTCTCGAATAGATGATAATGAATTTTCAATAATGTAATAAGTTACAACACTAACAGTACAAATATTCTCACATTATCACTTGACACATCATATTACATTGTGGGGCAGGTTTTACTTTATTGGCTTATTGGATTTTATTACATTTTTGAGCTAGTTAAGAGCTGAATTGCTATTTTGTATCTCATTACATTATTGGGTTATACGTCTTTTAATCATGTGCACTTAAGTGTTTAACTTTAATTGTATTACATGTTTTACAGTTTCTGAGGGAGCCTCGTCATCCATCAGCTCCTGACGACCAAAGGTCTACATGTTGATTACAGAGAGTCTTTCTTACACCATATGAAGCTGTTTCACTGCTGCATATCAAGTCCTTTCAATGTATGCGGCAACTCAGTCGAGTGTCTTCATGGTCACAGTATTATTTTTTTTATTGTACATTCGTCAAATCTGTACTTTCAGACTTTTTTGTGGAAAACTTTTGTGGAGAGTTTGTATGGTGATGGTTTCTTGAGAAAGGCTGTTCCTGCCCTTACAGCTGCGTCTTGAAACGCTGTTCCTGTCACATTCCTTTAATACCCTTTAAAGACGGGGCCAGAACACAGCTGTTGTTTTTTAGGTAATAGATTCATGGATAGTGTGCTGAGTCTTCACTAGAGGAGTTTTAGCAACTTGGCTGCTCAGGAGGAATTAAAAAAACTCCAAAGTGTCTGTCCATCATGAAGTTTTTGAGTAACAAAAAAAACTATGGAATCTACTGGGTTTAGTTGGCATTCAGACAATCTGTAGTTTAATCAGATGTAGGCACACATCTAAAATGGCTTAAATTATCCAATTCTTCAAGTAGGAGTGGCGATATGAACTCAAATTCATATCATAGTACTTTATTTTATTCAGACTATAACAGTATGATATTACAATATAGAAAAAAGTGAAAACATAATAGCAACAGTAATAATAACAGTAACAAAATATTGCAAAAATAATAACTATTATTATTGTTACAGCTAGTACTATTGTTGGTATGATGCCATTATTATTATTATTATTATTATTATTATTATACTGGCAACTAAAAGTATTCTTCATTGCGTAAATACTTGCTTCTTCAGAATGGAAGCAGGTTTTAGTCTCTCCTGCAGCCTCTCCTCATGTTTGTTTTTACCTCTTCACTCATTCTCAATCCCATTTTGCACCTTGAATTTGGAGTCTAGAATAATATTTTACAGCTTGCTGCATCTAACAAAGCTCACTATTCCAGGCTTCAGCAGCACAAATGCGGCATGTGTGAGGTAGTTGTAAACCAAGCAGGAAAATGCCATATCTGTGTGAACGGTCATCAGGCGAGGGCTGTAGCAGAAACAGCGCATAACAATACAACATGTTTATTAAAATAGTAGTGTAGTTACAAATTAGTCCAAACCTAGACGTCCCACACCACTGTATAATTTCTACCTGCACTACTCTTTAGTCTTAACTAGTCTGGCACAAATTCTATCCTAACGTCTTTACAGGCTTTAGCCACATTGACTGCTCCTCACAACTACAACACTGTTACAGCGCTCAGTGATATGTTTGGTGAGTGTTTGTCGTGTTCTGATCATAAAGGATAGTTTAAAACCACAAGTAACCACCCAGGAGCAAAAATCAGCCTTCAAACTTGAAAGGAGTAATGATTCGACACTGTGAGTTTGACTGATATGAACATTTTTATCAGGATAACATTTCTGGCCATATTGCCCAGCTGTAGCTGGAGCCTATCCCAGCGGTCATGAGGCAGAAGATAGGAAACACCCTGGACAGGCCGCCAGTCCATCAAAGGCCAGACAGACAGACATATGCACTCACACACACACTAACACTTAGCGGCAATATAGCGTGTCCAATTGGCCTGACTGCATGTCTTCGGACTGTGAGGGGAAACCGGAGCACACAAAATGTGGCCTGAACAAAAGTAACACATTATATATTATATATTTTTTTCAAATGTGTCAAATTCCGCAAATAAATGTAGCTGTGCATTAAAATGGGTAGAAGTGTGTTCTCTGTAGAGGACATGTTCATTTGTTTTCACTTAGAAATAACAATGCAATTAGACCATGTTCAGATTTTACACACAGTTGTATACATGTTAAAAATGGAGATATAATACTGTATATTTTTATATAGGCTTTGTTGAAAACAAAACGCTAAATAAAATTAGCATTATATATGTGCAATATTCTATTGTAAAATATTTTATATGTAATGAGTCTTTATTTGTACAGTTTGTGTTGGAAATGCTGTATGTTTGTGATTAAAAGTTGTATTTTAACTTTTAAACTTTAAAGGCTAATTTTTTCTTGGTGTATCATCATCATTGGGATTTTGAACAGATGCTTTTTTTATTTCTAAATGTTTATCTTGGTGAACCTTGCTTTTTTAGCTGAGCTGTGGGAATTTAATCAGTTCTTCCTTTATGATCTCCACAGCTTGACACTATAAACAAAGCACAATATCCTTTCTCCCTGACTGTGTCTGAGTGATGACTGCAGGTGTACTGCAGGTGAACTGGATCCTGCATACAAAATTCCAACTTAAGCTGAACTAATTATAGTGATAGAAATGACAACCTGCAGTGACTGTTTAAAGTATGATGGGATTTAATAAAATTATTTTCTAATATTCTTCATTTAATGTAGCCTGGTTCAGTTAGTTAGTTATGGGCTGTTAGGTGTAAGCACGTATTTTAACAGGTGTACCTGCTCTGCAATCAGTCATGTGAGGAGGACCTCTGACCAATCAGAGGCCTGGCTGGTGTAGTTGGGGGAGGAGCTTATGCTTTAAAAGAGGTCTTCAAGCTGGCTGATGACAGATAGAGAGGCCTAATTATCTGTGCTGTAGTTTTTAAATCTCTTGTGTTGCTTTAGTTTTGGTGTTTTTCCTGCACACTTTAAACTTGTGATTGATTATTTGTACCACCTGGGGTTTCAAACAGGCAAGAAGGACACCTAAACATTCTCACCATGTCTGTCCACTCTGTCTAGCTCTCAAGGTCAGAGGGCACTACCACATGTGCTTTTGAATGCTGGAGAGTGTAGAGTAGTTGGCTTTTGTTTCTTCTTGTTGGTTAGTTAAGCGTTCTTGTTTGAGTAGGCAAGCTTGGTTAGGTCTTCTGTAACCATTTAACAGAGGTTAAATGTCGTGATGGCTGTCCTACCTCATCGCTCAGACACAGGGGCATCCCAGCTTGTTCGACGCTCCATATACTGAGGAGCTCATTGCATGTTTTGTTCAGATTGATTCATCCCAGCGAGAGTCATCACAGAATATTTGGGGTGTCTTTTGAGTGAATCTCCCTGTACATAGCAACAAATCTGCACATCTTTTCATGAAGCACAAAGTCTTAAACGCTCAGCCTGGTTTGGTACGCAGTGACATGGCTCTTTCCATTTCTTCTCCAGGGGGTTGTACTGACAGGACACTAGTATGTGAATGTTTCATTTGCATGTCTCTAGTTGGTAGCTTTAACGATGTTGCACAGTGTAATTGGTTGGTTTTAGAAACAGAAATGTGGGGAATCACCCCATCTTAAGGACAATGTCCATGTACTGTAAAGATAAACCAGATCACTATCATGTACAGAATGCTAATTTATAAGCTCACAGACTCTCATTGTAAAACTATCCAGTTAGGCTCAATGTTGGTATTTATGCCAGGTTTAGGTCTAAGTTAGAGGTTAGTGTTAAAGCCAGGTTCAGGGTTTGGGAAAGTCTAGCTGAATAAAGAGTGCAAGTTAAATGTAAGGTAAGCATCTACAGTAAACAGCAACATAGTAGAAGCTTTAGTTCTCTTTTGCATTTCTTTTGAAAATTCTTAAACTTGTGTGAAGTCTAGCCTGTTTTTATTTTAAGTGATGTCTAACTCAAGGTTTTGCTATTAGCATCTTTACAGCCTTTCAGGTGAGATTGTCTCAGCCAGCCATTTGGAGGAACGTCCTTATGTGTCGTGCCCTCTGCATCCATACCTGCTACAGTGAGGCTGCTCCACCTGATCTGTACCAGCAAACATGATTTTGCAGATACTGTGTTGAATCATTGGGGGTCATGGGTATCTCTGCAGTGTGCAACCAAGATACCTTCTGGCAAATCATACAGGAGCAGGTAATTATACTAAGCCTATACTAGAGCAGTGCTTCTCAACCCTGGTCCTGGAGGCCCACTGTCCTGCTTTAACACACCCACTCTACCTTAATAATGGGCTGATAATCAGTTGGATCAGGTGTGTTGGGAGCAGGGAAGACACTTAAAGTGCAGGGCAGTGGGCCTCCAGGCCTGGGGTTGAGAAACACTACTAGAGGTTTAGCTACTTATTTCAAGAGAAAGAGGCACCAAAAGGTCTGTTCATGAATTTGAGTAGCAGTAGCTAGAAAATTGAGAGTTCAGTCAAGGTGCCACACAGTAGATCTGTGCAGGCACAGATCTAATAATTATCCATCCACTCCAAGCAGTGTAATCTCCTCCCTCCTTGGATAACTTACAGGTCCTAAATGTTATTCAAATACAGATTAGAACCTGGTCAGACCTGCTCCTTCAGCCCTGAGTCTCTCGCTCTCCTAACATAATCTCCTACTAATGTAAACTGTTTTAAAACATTTGAATGCAAAACTGGGCATTAATATTTTCTCTCTATGTATCGTTTATCTCTCGACATTCTAGGTTTCTTTAGTTTTCTTATAGTTGGCTTGTCAACTAGCTGTACAGCCTAGATGTTGTAACCACTGTTTTATTAGTATTTTTTTTTATTTGCTGAATTTAACAAACTGGGTAATACAATCCAATGTGCCTCATAAATGTACAATACTCTTGTGAAATTTAATTAACAGTGCTTTTGTGTAAAATGTGTACACCTTAAGACAAACTTCAGTGATTTCTAGACATTAAAACTATCACACACTGTCAAACATTCCATTTGAATGGCAACAAGTGAGTACAGCAGAGAACAGAACACACTTGACTTTAGTCAACTGTAGTTTCAGTGGCTGCTCATTCAGCTGTGGACCTCTGTGGTCTAAGCCTTCTGAGGCTCCTGATACTCGGAGGCCCCTGGGCACTGGCCTCATTGTCTTACTCTGTAATCAATCTCTGCTCTTTATTTGTAATGGTTCTCTTAGTACAATTTGTTAGAAATGCTGTATGTTTGATTAAAATTGTATTTGAGTCCTGACTTTTGGTCTGAGTTTTTTGGGTCTCATCTTTGGGATTCTAAACAGATGGTTTTGTTGGGTGTTTTCCCAAATGTACATCTTGGTCAACTTCTTTTTGTCGAATTCCAATACTTTATCATCTCCACAGCTTGAAACTATAAACATAGCACAATGTACTTTCTGCCTGATTGTGTCTGAGTAGTGACTGCAGGTGGATGTTTGACAAATATTGCCCCCCTTCAGAACCGTTTACTGTAAAGCTTCACCAGCTCAGTTTATCATGTACAGAATGCTGACTTATAAACTTACACACAGAGTAAATCAACTGGAAGAGCATGGACTCTGGGTCCGGCATTCATGCAGACACCAGTTTGACATGTGTTGTTGGTTTTTTTTTTTGGACATGTGGCTTTTGGACATGTAAAAGCTGGTCTGTTTTCTTTGGGGACTGATTTATATGCTGGACTGAAGATGCTCATGGCTGTTTCAGGAGGTAAGGTTGTGGTGGAGAGCGCATCCTGTAATCATCTCTCTTTACAGGTAAACACACAGAACACCCATAGTGCTTTGTGAATGAGCTGAATTCATTGTACAGCTGTACTTTAAGTATGTTCTGTTGGTAGAAAAGCGCTCTAAGTGGAGTTAAATGTGTTGGTGGTCGTGAGCGGTGAAACGGCTGAACACACAAACCCCCCATAGTTAGACAAGGACCAAGAGGCTCTGAACACACCGCCTCTAAAACAGTGTGTGTTCACTACGATCAGGTAAAAGGACAAAAAACAACAGTTTACACGTTTTCAGAGTGGTTTGGTGTGAAACACTCTGTTCTAGAGAAACTTGGTCAGAATTGTTCACAGTGGTGGTGATGATAGGAACCAGACGTCCTCCTCTAAAAGCTCTCTCACAGAAAGTTACTACATTAAATGAACGCGCTGTCTGATGCGCGAGACCTTGTTTTATGATAAAGGTTTGGTTTGAAATGTCTTTTAATCCATTCATGGTGGAGGGGTGCATGCAGGTTGTGGTGAGACAAAATAGTCCCCAACAAAAACGTATTTTTTCAGATTTATAACTGTTTTGCCATCAACATTACATAGAACACTCAGAAGACTCGTGTAGGTTCACTGGTGGTTTTGGATAGAAAATAAAATGGCTGTATTTGTGTTGCAGACAGGACCACCCCTGGTTCCCATCACCACCACTGTTAAAAAAAAAAAGTTGGTAAATTTCATTACAAATGAATTACTGAACATCAAATCACTCTGACTGACTTTGATTATAGCTTAACCATTGAATTACTGAGGAATTTTAAAATGAAAAAGTGGTGATGTTCCCCTGTAAGTTTGAGAGTTGAGTGTGAATGGTCTAAAAGAAACACTAACAATTAACATGTTGGTACAATAATGTAGTCTTTTCTGTTATCAAAGTCATTTTTGGTCTCTACTGTTGCCTTTGGCGCCCTCTGGCGTTGGTTTGATAATATTTCACTAAGTATTACTGTGATTTAAAGTCTTTCTACAGTAAGAAATTCACTTCTGCTGTTATTAATAATAAAATCTTAAACACTAAACGCTTTTATTCAGTCTTTGTCCGATGATGAACTGATTTTACCAAGTTATAATCGACCCTCCTTCATCAGAAGAGAACCGCGGGCTTCCAAAACCATGAACATCAGCTTCTTCCTGGCAACTGATGACGCCACACGATTAGCTTTTTTCATTGGCTGCTAAAGTCTCAGGGCCGTGCTGGACGGGTTGCCATGTTGAGGCCATTGTCCCCCTCACTGGAGAAACATGGGAAAAATGCATTAAAGTGTGAAAAGAACTAAGTAACATGTCTGTAAGAGTGTCTAGAAGTAGAGATGTTAATAAAGTAGTGCTCTGGACATTTATACAGTAATTAAACCAGCAGGCTCTTCATTTTCACCAGTTTAGTTAAGCAGCTCTCCACTGTCTTATTCTCACCACCCAGCTCCTATAGAACCTGAACATTCATATCAAAGTTTAATAACAAATTTCCCACTTTTCTGTCTATATGAATATATATTTTGGAGAATATATATAATACACTCAGTACATGTATAGTGCAGTCAGTACATCAGAGGGGGGGTTTCTGGCAACCCATTTCCTCCCAGAAGAAGTGAAGGTAGAAGATATTTGCGATTTCTAACGCGATTCTGTATATGTGATATTTCTGTATAGAAATATTACATATACAAAATGACGAACGTCAGTGCTGGGTAATGGATTACAGACATGATGTGAAGAAATGGCTCCTTTTCCTGCTGCTCAGCGCCGGAACGGGTAAGTTCGGCTGAGCTCCTGGTCCGGTGCAGACAGACCTGCATGCCGGAGCCGTGTTTGTAAACAAAGGGGTTCGCTGTACTTCCGGTGACTCATTCGGTCTGCGGTTGAAGCAGCTCGTTTAAAGTAGCGATAAACACAAACAGAAGCAAAATATGGACAGTAACGGTAAAGTACTGTTGTGTTTGAGGCTGTAAAGTCAGAAGTTTGGGGGTAAACAGTGTCCGTATGACACTGAAGTGTGAAGGAGCCCCACTGTTTGTGCTGAGAGTAAAAGCAGAAAGTCTGTTGGGGAACCTAACGGTACCTTGTGCTTTCCTCGCTCATCCCACAGTTCCTCTTTTACATTAGGTTTAATTTCAGTGCATTAAACTGCAAGTTAATGCTGCGTGTTTTGCAGTTTCGCAGTTAGCACTGACTCCATCTTTTACTGCGGTTAAGTTGTTTTAATATTAAAGTGATAATAAGTAATTTTAATAGTTATATCATAAATAAAGTCAAATCAGCTCAGTCCTATATATGCAATGCCCTCTTTAAAGTTTGGGACAAATCTTTTTTTATCCACCTTTGTGCTTCTCTGCACCTGTGTGTTATAAGTTTGTAGCCAACCAATTCACTTATGGTTAAAATGCACATTCTCAGTTAATGTCTGGGATGCAAGGCATTACAGGTGTTTGTGATTACTCAGATGAGTTTAGTTGGATCAGTAGCACAAATATACGAGTGCTTTCAGCCTCTAGACTTGATTCTAGGCTTTTGGTCACCTTTGCAGTTTGATTTACTGTCTGTTAACATGAGAACCAGAGTTGTGCCAATGAAAGTCAAGGAAACAAAGGCTACACAACAATAACAAACAGCCAAACCTTAGGCTTACCAAAAATTGGAACATTATTGGAACAAACAGAGATATGTTGTGAGCTTAGTAACCATAATGGAACCAATAGGCCAAGAAAAACCTCCACAATCCCATCATACACCTGTAGAACAGATCATAAACACTCTTCAGGAGGCAGGTGTGGCTCGTCAGTGACTGCTGTCCGCAGAAAACCTCATGGACAGACATACAGAGACTACACTGCATAACGCAAACCAGCAGTTAGACACAAAAACAAGATGGCCAGGTGACAGTTTGCTAAAACGTACCTAAAAGAGCCTGCAGAGTTCTAGAAAAAGCTCTTGTGGACAGATGAGACCAAAGACTAACATATCAGAGTGACAGCAAGAACAAAGTGTGTAGGCAAAAAGGAACTGCCCTAGATCTAAAGCAGACAACCTTATCTGTGAAACATGGTGGTGGGGGTGTTATGGCCTGGGCCTGTATGGCTGTCATGGCCTCATCTTCACTGATGAAGTAGCTACAAAATGAATTCTGTAGTTATAGAAACATCCTATCAGCCCAAGTTCAAGAAAATGCCTCCAAACACATTGAGCGGTGCTCCATCCTACAATACAATGATCCCAAACATACTGCCAAAGCAGCAAAGGAAAACTTGAAACTTCTTAACTGACAAATAAGACAGATAACGTTATAAACAATGAAGAGCGGATCAGATCCACATATATGTGCAGCTGTAATATGTATAACTTGTCTGTCTACACACTCAGATATTTTGGGGGACTTTGACCCCACTGTGCTGAACCTTTAAACGAGTAGCCAATAATGGCAGGCTATTTTTTTGGCAGGAGGAAGGAGCTCGAGATCTTCAAAGCTAATTTAGCTACTTTAATGGAGTGGTTTAAGAAGGTTAGTGAATGCCTTAATTAAAGACCATACCAGTAAAGGCAAACCTAAAAACACATACCAGCACCCAAAACACAACATATCGTTGCTGTCGGAAGAAAACCTTGTATCTCCATTTTTGTTGTTTTTCAGTTTTTGACATGATTTGAAAATGCATGTTGCTCTTTACATTGTGTGTCAATTTCATGAAGAATGGACCAAAAGAAACGGCCCAAAACGACTTGGGGAAAAAAAGCCTGGTTCCATTGACTTACATTAAAAGTGAAGTAGGATTTTTCTGTCCCCTGTAAAGTTAGCATTTTGGAGATACAAGGTTTTCTTCCAACAACAAAGATATGCTGGTTTTAGAGGTAGTAACCTCCAGCATTAAAGAGAAGTAAATATCCTGGTTATCACAGAAACCAATAAATGTTGTGTTTTTGGTTCTGGTTTGCTGTTCAACCAGCACTGCACTGAAAAAGCAGAGGATATAATGCATTTATAACATAAGAAGCTTCACAGGCCCATTTGCATATCCTTACGCCGCTGCTTATCCTGTATAAGATGTGGTGATTTTAAGGAAGCTTGAGATTGGAAGACATTGGATTGTAAATCGGGGTTTTGCTCCAGTGGACCTTCTAATACATGTTTCAGGTCATTGTCCTGTTTGAAAATGAATGGTAAACCAAGTCCCACTGGTTTTGCAGATTTTTGTCCTCCGTACATTTCTGTACAAATGTCCAATGTTCAGTTTTGGCCTCATCTAACCAAAGAATATCACTGCCAAATGCTGAGCCTCTCACATGTCTCTGGACTAGATATGTTGAATTCAAGGCTTTCTTCTTTTCCCTCTTCTATACCAGATTTGCTAAGTGTGTATGCTGTTGTTTTGTGTACAGTTTCTTAAGTTTCACTAATGTGAACAAAAAAACTGTGAACTCTTTTAGAGCTGCCATGTAAAGATTCTTTCTACTTTGACTTTTGGGAGTGCTTTGTGTTGAGTCAAAGACAAATAGATCATCTCATCATCGTTGTCCATGCCCTTAGATAATAACATTCCATGCCTTAAAATGGTTACCGTTTACAATATTGACTATTTGTGTCTCAACAGCGTCCCACTCCCTCCAATACGTCATCACTGAAACCACACCAGGAAGAGATTTCCCAGAATACACTGCGGTTGGTCTGGTGGATGGGGAGCAGTTTGTGTACTATGACAGCAACATCAAGAAGATGATTCCAAAGACGGAGTGGATGAAGAAGAATGTGGGTGAAGATTACTGGACCACAGAGACACAGAAGCAGGAACGAGCTCAAGAGATCTTCAAGGCTAATTTAGTTATTTTAATGAAGAGGTTTAATCAGACAGACGGTGAGTGGAAGCATCAGTTAAAGATCACACCAGTAAAGACAAGCTTAACAATGTGACTTAAACCCTCAAAACCTATTGATGTTTCTTACTACTGTAACACTGTCACAACCTACCTCTTCCTGGGCCTGTGCAGTAGTGCACATGGCTTGGCCATGTGCTCTAGTTTTTCTCTTTTCAGCTCCTTCCTAGCTCCTCCCCTTGCACACCTGTGGATGATCCTTGACGTGTTACCTACCTCATATACATCCCTGTGTGTTTGCAAAGTCTCTGTGTTTCAAACCTAAGTACCAAGCTGTGGTTTTGCTTTGTATTATTTTCTTGTTTTGACCCTCGTTTTGTGTCTTTGTTCTGTTAATATGGATCTATTGCTATTGCTTGCTTGTGTTTTGACCCCCTTTGCTTTTGCAACCTGCTTCATCACTTATGTTACAGAAGGCTTTGTGATCAAGGCCGCAGCAAGAGACTTCACACAGCCCCAACCAGAGCGGGGTTCCAAGGCTCTGCCCGTTGCTACAGAGAGAGCACTGGCACATTGACGCCTGCCCTCATCATGCCACCCCAAGGTACCATGCCTTTGCTGATTCTCCGAGATACCTCACCTGTGGTGGATCCTCTAACCGCCCCTACTGGGGTGACAACCAAAACTGGAGTTGACCCTGCCCCTGTGCCTGGACGGCTACAGTTCCTGCCCCCTGGACAGCTCCTCTTCCAGCTTACAGGTCTCCTGTGCTGGCTTCTCACAGGGCTCCAGTGCTGGTTCCATGCAACGCTCCTCTTCCAGTCCTCCAGGCTGCTCCAGTTGTGGTTCTCCAAGCAGTGCCAGCTGCCCGTTTTGATCCACTACCGGCTACCTGAGCTGCTCCTCCAGTGCTGTTTTGACCCTCACTTTGTCTCCTGGTTTTGTTAACATGCGTCTGCTTTTGCTATTGTCCCTAATAAGACCTCTTATTTGCAACCTGCTTATTGCAACCTGCTTCAGCCCTTGCGTTACAATCACCTACAGTTTCTCAAATATTAAAATCTAAGGGTATTTGGCTGTGAGGACTCCTACCAGGCCGTACTATGTGTAGTCTGTATGAAATGTTTTTTTTTTGTGTGTCTCTGCAGAGGTTCATATATTACAGAGGAAGTCTGGCTGTGAGCTGCATGACAATCACACTATTAGAGGATATTTCCAGTTCAGTTATGATGGAGAAGACTTCCTCATTCTGGATCTGAACACTTCAACCTGGACTGCAGTTCATCAGAATGCAGTTAGTACCAAACAGAAGTGGGAGGCCGCTGGGGATCCAAATTTCAGGAAGCACTATCTGGACAACGACTGTGTCGACTATTTAAGGAAGTATGTGGATTACAGCAGATCCACTCTGAAGAGGAAAGGTACAGTACTGCTGCTGTAACTGCAGCCTCTGCTACTTGCAGCACCCAGCTCTGTTCTTTATCATCTATGAAAAAGAAATCTTTTCTACACAGCTCTATACAAACTAATTTGTTGCATTTAAACGTTTCAGACCCTCCAGCTCATTTTAATATAAGATAAAGACAACATGAGTAAACCCAATAACTGGTTGTACCACCCTTGGCAGTAACAATCAAACGTCAATAGCGATAACTTGCAATGAGTCTTTTACATTGCTGTGGAGGAGTTCTGGCCCACTTTTCTTTGCAGAACTGTTTTAATTCAGCTACACTGGAGGATTTTTGAGTATGAACTGCCAGTTTAAGGTCTTGTCATAGCATCTCAACAGGATGCAAGTCAGGACTTTGACCCGGCCACTCCAAAACCTTAATTTTGTTTCTTTTGAGACATTCAGAGGTGGACTTGCTTCTGTGCTTTGGATCGTTGCCCTGCAGTATAACCCAACTGGGCTTAAGCTTTAGGTCATGCAGCCCCAGACCATCACACTACTACCACCATGTTTGACTGTTGGTATGATGTTCTTATGGTGGAACGTGGTGTTAGCTTTACATCAGATGTAATGGGAACCATTAAAAAGTTACACCTTTGATTCATCAGTCCACAGAACATTATCCCAAAAGTCTTTGGGGGTCACCTGGATGTTTTTGGCAAGTGCAAGACAAGCAAGTGTCCTTCTTATTGTGGAATTGTGTACATTAACTAAGGCAAGTATGGACTTGCAGTTCTTCAGGTGTTTGTCTTTGGTGGATTCTTTGGTGACCTCCTGGATGAGTCATCAATGCACTCTTGAGGTCATTTTGGCAGACTGGCCAATCCTGGGAGCCGCTCCTCCACTGCTTGTGGAGAAAGAATACTCCACTGAGCGTCAAAAAAGTTGAAAGCTGCTCTGGCTGGGCACACTTCGCTTAGATGGCCAAGATCTCCATGCATTTGGAGATGTAGTGTGTAGTGTGTAAGCTGTTTGAGTCAGTTGACAAATCCTAAACTGTACTGGTACCATTGAGTCCACAGTCTAATGTTCACTACAAACCTAAGCCGCTTTGCTAAACTTTGAATGACCACATTCCCTCACGCACCCCAAAACTGAGCATTTGAGAAAAGGCGCCATCTCGCACTAGCTTCGTAGAGTGGTGTGTGGGAGGGTGAGTTGATTTCAGAATTCATCGATGTCCAATGTAGGAATTTGCTGTTCTCAATTAGTGGAGTTTACGACATCCAGTATGACACCAAATAAGGTTGAGTTCCACAACATTGGTTAGGGGGCAGTATAATAACATTTTCAAACATCAGAGATTATTTTAGTGACTCATCAGTGGACAATACATTTTTGGTTCATATAAAATTTTAGGGAAGAAGAAAAAATTATATGCTGGACTGATTACATAATTAAAGTGGTACCATGTTCTCTACTCAATGTGAATATTAGGAATTGTCAGTTAAATGAATTCAAATTAAGTGTGGCACTGTGTGATGGAAACCACCCTCTCTCTGTCTCTCTCTCTCTGTCTCTCTCTCTCCAGTCTCTCCTGAGGTATCTCTGTTCCAGAAGGACTCTTCTTCTCCAGTGGTGTGTCATGCTACAGGTTTCTTCCCCAAAGCAGTGATGATCTCCTGGCAGAAGAATGGAGAGGATCTGCATGAGGACGTGGAGCTCAGAGAGACGCTACCCAACCAGGATGGAACCTTCCAGAGGAGGAGCGTTCTGACTGTCTCACCTGAGGAGCTGAACAAACACAACTACACCTGCATCATTCAGCACAGCAGCCTGGAGGAGGAGATGGTGCTGCATGTGTCTGATCTCAGAGTTCTGTCAGGAGGTACTCATCTGCTATCTTTAAGTTACCGTTATTCATTGTATTTATGATACAATTAATGGAGTCTACAAAGATGTTCTCGTGTTTCAGGTGGAGAGTTATCATCATTTGTGCGCATGTGGCTGTTCTGCTCCTCATTCTCTGTGCTGGAGTTCTCAGTTGGATAAAGAAGTATGCATTTACCCTTTGTGTAGAATGCAATATAGTAATAATTTCCTAAAAATGTAATAAATTTTTATAACCTATCGTAATCAAAAAATGTAGGTACTGAAGTTTGGGGGGAGAAACAGGCCTGAAACCCCTCCTTCTTCCAATCTAACGCCCTGTAAATTCACATCCTCACCTTCCGTTCCCATGGCGAAGGGTTCACAGTCCCCACTGCCACCCCATCTCCTCCCTGTTCCTCAGTTATACATCAGTCCTACTACAGCTATGAGGGGGTCTGGTCTTCTAGCTACAAGCAGAAGCTACCCAGAACTCCAGCCCAAGTTCTCAGAGTTCTTCCCTCCCTCAATCAATCTTCCCTCATACTACCACCACCATGTTGAAGGCATGGTCCAAACTCACAAAGTATAACTAACCCAGTAACATGTTAATGTGCTCAATAGTGTAATACAATGAAATAATAATATTTTTACAGATAATGTAATATCTTATTACATTATTAGGAGTTTATTACATTTTCAGTTTTGTTGAATGGATGATGTAATATGTATCCGTTTAAAAATATCAACTTCTAAATGTAATATGCTTTCAGTAATGTAATACGATATTACACTATCTGTAAAGCTATTATTACATCATCAGTTAAGACATTGTATTACATTGCTGAGAAGATTTTACCTTATTGGGTTTTAATACATTTTTAAAAAGGTTAAGTGCAAAATGTTATTACATTTCTAAATGTTATTGATTTACTGGGTTAAATGAATATTTGAGTGATTAAATATTTTGCATGTTTTACAGCTTCTGAGGGAGCCTTATCATCCAACAGCTTCGAAATTCGAAGAGTCTTCATGTTGATTTGACGGAGTCTTGTTTAAGTGATGATATGGAAACTCTGTGTTGTGTTTTTGTTGTGAGGATTTTATTCTCATAACTGTAATAATATAGAGTTTAGTATTGGTTAGGCAGCCACTGTTTCTCTCTCCTCTCCTCACCTCCTCATACGAGACAAGAGTCAAAAGGGCCGCAACAAAGCTTATAACAAAATAACATGACATGCAATGATTATAATTCAAAAACAACAGCTGATTAATGATAATAATAACTTGGCTTTGTTTATACAGGCAAGGCAGGCGCCATACAGTAATGACATGACTCTACTGCACTCTGCTGCGTTACCATAACCATAGTATTTAATAGAATATGTCAAGCTTTAACTTTATTCATTTTTCTATATATTTCTATATTGTATATAGATTTTTAACCCACAAAAGTATTAACATTATTTCTTTTCTCTGTCTCTTTTTTCTGGTTTACACTCTAAATTCCTTTACAGTTTCATTAAGGGGCATCTAGCTGTTCAGTCTAGCAGCTTTTCTGTACCTTGTATAAAACACAGCTGTATAAATTCAGTACTTTTGCACTTTCAACTTTTTTTCTACATTTTTTGCTGCCTAGTGACGCCCCTGTCAGCTGTAAGTATAGTTTGCCTGATTTGCACATTCCTTGTATGGAGCTATAAATGTTGTATCCGCTGTTGTATTAGTGGGGAGAGACCTGTTGTACTGTCTAATTCTCTTTCTCTCTCCACCATCTCTCCTTATATTTAACTCACACATTTCGTTTCATAGAATATTGTGCAGAATATTTTGTATTGCAACAGTTTGTGCTTTTACATCTAACACAAGACAAAACTTCACTCAGAATTTTAAAAAGCTGTCTAAAACATTCTATATTAATGTCAACAACAAAACGTAGCCCAAAGTAGGCCAGAGACCAGATAAGCTAAAACTCATCATATGCTGTCTAAAACATTCTATATTAATGTTAACAACAAAACGTAGCCCAAAGTAGGCCAGAGACCAGATAAGCTAAAACTCATCATACGCTGTCTAAAACATTCTATATTAATGTCAACAACAAAACGTAGCCTAAAGTAGGCCAGAGACCAGATAAGCTAAAACTCATCATACGCTGTCTAAAACATTCTATATTAATGTCAACAACAAAACGTAGCCTAAAGTAGGCCAGAGACCAGATAAGCTAAAACTCATCATATGCTGTCTAAAATGTCCTATTTCAATGTCAACAACAAAATGTAGCCTAAATAAATGTTGTTTATTTGATTTTTTTAAATAATTTGTATATACAGTAGTTAGTGGCCATTCATTCAAATAATAATAATAATAACAATAATAATATGATAATAATAACTATTATTGTTATTAGTTATAACATTCTTATACTTCTGTTTACTTCTGTGAATATTTGTGGCCCAAGGCAGTTAGAGACCCCTGAGCACTGGCCCTATTGTCCTGCTCTGTGATCCATCTCTGCTCTTTGTTGATGTTATTTGTAATGGTTCTTTATTAGTACAGTTTCTGTTGAGATTACTATATGTTTGTGATTAAAAGTTATATTTTCTCTATCAGAATTCTGACTTTTAGTCTCCTTTTTTTCTTGGTGTGTCTTCATTTTTTGAAGATGCTTTTGTTTATTTCAACATGTACATCTTGGTAAGCTTTTTCCTTTTAGTTAAACTGGGAATTTACCCAGTTCTTCCTTTATGATCAAGTGTAGATTTCACTAATTTATACCTTGTACAGCAATCCACACGCTCTGAAGCTCACTGTGACTGTGACTGAGTTTCTGTTTGGGTTTATAGTTTCAACTGTTTGCACATATTTTTTTTTACTATGGACACTGAACACAAAACTCTAAAGGACCAACTGCTGAGCTGATGCTCCTAAAGACAGGCCTGTCCTGTTTGAGACACTGAGAACTGGGTGCCACAAGCAAAACTCCAACTTAACCTGAACTAATTGTAGTGATAGAAATGACAACCTGCAGTGACTGTTTAAAGAATGATGACATTTAGTAAAATTATCTTCTAATATTCTTCATTTAACGTAGCCTCAGTTAGTTAGTTATAGTCTGTTATCTGTAAGCACATATTTTGCTTCTCTCTGTCTCTGTCTGTCTCTCTCTCTCTCTCTCTCTCTCTCTCTCTCTCTCTCTCCTGGTCTCTCCCTTAAAAGGTGTACTTGTTCTTCAATCAGTCATGTGAGGAGGACCTCTGACCAATCAGAGGCCTGTCTCGTGTAGTTGGGGGAGGGGCCTATGCTTTAAAGGAGGCCTTCAAGATGGCTGAAGAGAGACAGACAGAGGCTGAGGCTGAGGCTGAGGATGAGGATGAGGATGAAACCGAAACGTGTGCTGTGTTGTAGTTTGTGTTTTTCAGTCTCTTTTATTGGGAGGGGCTTTAGTTTTGGTGTTTTACCTGCACACTTGTGATTGATTGTTTATACCACCTTGGGTTTTAAACAGGTAAGAGGGGCACCTATACACTCACACCACGTAGAAGTCCACTCTGTCTAGTTCCCCAGGTCAGAGGGCACTACCACATGTACTTTTGATTACTGGTCAGGGGAGTGTAGTGTAGTTAACTTTAGTTTCTTTTTGTAGGTTAGCTAAGTGCTTTTTGTTTGAGTTTGCAAGTAGTTTTAGGTTTTTTGTTCTTTTTTTGGTTCTGTCTACAGTTTGACTGTTCCAGTATGGTACTAGATATCATAGCACACTATTTTATTGTAGTTGGTTTTACTAAAATGGCTCTATTGGCCTGTCCTTCCAGTTTTTAATCCATCATCACCAGTTCAGTCTTGATGCCACATGTTACTGATCCCACAGTGCCCTAGACAAACAGTGGGGTTGTAACAAATAAACTGATTCTTTTCTTTACTTATGAAGCTGCTAAGTAACCTCAGTAAACAAACTATAAAAACTAAAACTTTAGCTTGGTCAGGCTCCTTAAACAAATGAGTCAACTAGTTATGGCACCTTGGAAACGCCTTTGGCAATTTCTACATAGTGTATAACAACAAAGCTGCAGATCTTTTCACTAAATTCTTCAAAAACATTCAGCCTGGTTTGGTACACAGTTCCATGGATCTTTGTTTTTTCACTAGTGGCCTGTACTCACAGAACACTAATGTTTAAAGGTTATTTTGCATTTGCATGTGTCTAGTTACCAATGTTCCACAGTATAATCATTGTTAATGGCATTTAAAAACAAAAATGTGGGGAAACACCCCCCTTAGAATGATACCCATGTGCCATAAAGATAAACCTGATCAGTTTATCGTGTACAGAATGCTATTATATAAACATTTCATGCACATAAATTGAAATTATGCATTTATTTTGATGTGAAAAGTTATGTGAAGAGTCTAGCAAGTGCCTTTTTTTTATTTTAAAGTGATTATTTTTAGCTCCACTCATACATCCTGCTGTGCTGTGGATGGTACTCCATCAAGAAGGGTAGCAAATTCTACCTTCACTTGGTAAAATGTGCAATAAAGGATTTGAAACCATACTGATCTGTACTTCACTGCCTGGTGGAAAAATGCCTTCATACTCGCTGTGAACTTTGGATTGTGATGCTACAGGTCTGTTCTCCTTTCAAATACACACAGACCTTGTTAGGATACACAACATTGTGGACCTCCATCTCTAATTTGGCTTTCAGCCCTGGCTCATGGTTGGATCTTCCAGCAGGACAATTCAGAGACAAGCTTTTGCAGTGGTAGGCCTGACCTGAATCCCACTGAACACAAGCTGCAGAGAACAGAAGAGCCATTTTAAAATGTTTTGATCAGAATTATGCTCAAAAAACAAGAGGCATCAAGTTTGCTTTTAATGTCATCACTGCTGTGGTTCCAGCTGTTTCTCAAGCAAGTGGGAAATGAACTACTGTCTTAAAGATGATGGTTCTTCAGGGGTAAAGAAAATGGTTCTGTATAGCACCAAAAAGGGTTCTTCTATTGTTACAGGCTTGACATCATAACAGTAGAATCCTTTGCAAAAAGGTTCTATATAGAACCATATGAAACAGTCCTTTTGTGATGCAAAGAACCCTTTAATCATTCAAACATGTGTTCATGGTTCTGTATAGAACTAATCAACATATTTTTAAATTTTTGTGTAGGATTAGAAACATAAGTTTCATTGACTCCTGTTTTCCGTCCGCTCTTGTTTTTGAATGTGCCGTGGGAAACTAAGTTTCCCCTCTGTCCTGATCAGAGACCTTGCTGAACATAATCACCCTCATTTGCCAGTGGCCTCTTTGGAGCCTTTCTGGTGAGCTTTCCTCTTGACCAGTCATCAGTTTGAGGAACGTCCTCATTTGTCATGACCTTTACATTCATACCTGCTACAGTGGGGCTGATCCACTTGATCTGCACCAGCGAACAAGATTCTGTAGATTCTGCGTTGGATCATTGGGGATCACGGGTATCTCTGCACTCCAAATCTTAGAGTAGCAGTTAATTATGGCTTTTTAAAATAAATTGTGTGTGTAAGACAAATTACACTTGTACTTTTAGTTATCACTTCTCTAAATGTATTATGTTTTTTCAGTAGTGCTTCCTAAAAGGGCTACTTTTGTACTGAAACATTGCTGATTATAAGATTTTGGTTGGACAAAAGTAAGACCTTTACTCTAAAACCTATTTGACAGTTTTTTTTAAGGTACTACAGGATGCTCTCTGCACGAGAGGTGAGACCTGCCGTTGGATCTTTTTGATCTTCCCATTATGCTTTCACACTAACAGGTACACAGCAAGCTGTGAAAAACTGCCAGAGGTTAACACTCACAGTGTAACCACCAAACTTCTACTGTTTACACAAAGAACAGGCACGCAGCGAAACTTCATGAGACGTCCTTAAAAAAAGTGGCATGAAAAACAAATGTTTTTAACAAATATTGTGACAAAAAATAATAATGGTGGGAAGTAGAAACGTCCAGTAGTGTTTGTGTTCAGTCAATGGTTTATATAAAGTTTATTTCTGTAAATGTTCTGTTAATAGTGTTTCTTTCTCACTGGGCTTCTAATTGATCTTTTACTTGCTGTTCTACATTTATTGTGCGTTCTTTCACTGCACAAGTACAAATGTGCTGCGTATGCTAATGTGTTATGCATGTTAATGTAGTTATGATGGTATTGACTTGTCGGTAAACCTTTTAAAACGTAATTTAAACATTAAACCAGGTTCATCTATGAACATTTGTTGCATGCTATGCAAAATGATACCTGATTTTGTTGACAACCACACAGACTGTGATTTAGTCAGTCACTCACACATGTACTACTGACTGCTGTGTGTGTGTGTGTGTGTGTGTGTGTGTGTGCGCGCGCCAGACATAGGACAAGGACTCGAGTCACACTGGTCTTACGTGTTGACTCACAGCGCGACTCAGCTTGGACTCTAAGACTTGTGAAATGTCAGTGTGAGGGAAAAAAAACTGATTAAACAGGGACCACAAACCTTAACACAGTAAACGCACAAGCGCTTTCATTTTCAGCCTTACGTGTCTGACTTTGCCACTTTGCTACAGTCATCTCATCAGTCTGATGGACTAAACGAATCACTACATGCAGTGAATTTCAAAGAAAGAAGCAACACAACTTAAAATGGCTGTTTAGCCTGCAGTTTGTATAGTATATAGTTTGTATATAGTAGGTTGTATAGCTTATATATGAAACAGTTAAAAGGGCTTTTAATTTGGATAGCAGGGCAGCTAGAACACTAAGTAAGTAGAGTTTTAGTATTTTACCCATCACATTCCTTTAAAATGGACCAAAACATCAATTGGATAAGCTATTATGCTAATTAGCTAACATATATGCTATATAACAGACTATCCAGGAGTGTATCTATGCTCACAGGGTACTATGTTACAATGATGGGCTGTGGAAACATATGAGAGCAGGAATATGGGACGCTGGGAATAGAGGGCCATGGGAATAAAGAATACTGGGAATGTAGGACCCTGGGACAACAGGATTTTGGGGAAAAGGATCCTGGGAATATATGACTTTAGGAATACAGGACCCGCCCTGCGATGGACTGGCGACCTGTCCAGGGTGTATCCTGCCTTCCGCCCAATGACAGCTGGGATAGGCTCCAGCACCCCACCGTGACCCAGAAGGATAAGCGGTTTAGATGATGGATGGATGGATGGATGGAAAATCAAAAATGTTCATGTGTTTATCCTCCTGGGGAACGTAAAACAAGCTGAATGGTGATGCACAACATGTTTGGCTATGATTGTATATGAATAATGTGGGCTGATGGCACAGCTGGGTGTAAACCTACATTACATTATAGTAAGATTATTAAAATGTTTCACACAGTGTGATTAACGAACCATTTGTACTGTTATGGATGAACTATTGCATTGCCATAATTACTAAACAGCCCTGTTTTCCCCACACCCACACCCACACACGTGCAGTTTCAGTTACTGCTTTCTTTGTTCTTTTTTTTTGTATTGGAAACAGATTAATTTCAAGACTACTTGAAAATGAAACTGAAGATAAGATACA